CGAAGCCAGAAGTTCTGCTAGTGTTATATAATTTTAAATTTACCTATGTGTAATTTTATCAAAATTATAGAATTATGTTAATATTCAGAAATAAAATTTTAAATGGAAAGAAGTAGATTGACATTTGAGGACCCTGCCTGGAGCGCTCGTTTAACGTGTACCTACTTGTTACTTAAGGTCATTCGGAGTCGCGTGTCCACTCTACAACTGAACCCAAAAGTTTAAATTTACATAAAATATTTGAGGTTCCGTCTCTTTGCATTGTATTATTAAATAATTTAAAATGAAGAAATAGTCTCATAACTTTTCTCTTTATTATTTATACAATTTTAGAGAAAACTGGCAATGCCCGCGGCTCCGCCCGCGTTCTGGTGACCAAAAACCAAATTCTTAGGTTTTACATATTAGTATACTCTTACATTGCAGTTTTGCTATTTTTTTCTCAGAAATGAGATATTTTCCCGCGGTAAAAAGTATCCTATATGTTGACCCGGATAGCCAGCTATCACCATACCAAATTTAATCAAAATCCCTCCAGTGTTTTTTCTGTGATGCAGTAACAGACACACAGACAGACAGACAAAAATTCTAAAAACTTTAGATTCGGCCTCTGTATCGATAATATAGTCTATTTCAAAAAGATTTTCCTTAAAATATTTAATATATTAAAAGACGGGTTCTAGAGTGGAGACCACGGCTCGGCAAACGTAGTGTAGGATGCCCTCCAGCTAGGTGGAGCGACGACATACGTAAACTGGCTGGCAGCGGTTGGATGCGTAGAGCTGAAGATCGAGCTCAGTGGTGTGCCATAGGAGAGGCCAATGTCCAGCAGTGGACGAAAGCAGGCTGAATTATTATGATGATGAAGATGTACGTGTACACGTTATTTGTGAAAGATAGATTTTTGCATGATTTTCTAGAAAATATAATGAATAAAGTGGTTTTCATTTTTCGAATTATTACATAAAATTAATTGTAAATCTATATTTAATTTTCTCTATATTTAATAGTAGATAGATATATTTAATAATACAATAGTTAGAAGCCAAGCAAACCTTTTCTCATCGTTGTACAGAATTCTTTCATCCCACTTATTATGATACAATTTAATAATGTCAGCATACATCATTATGCGTACGATGTCCGGCAAGCCATGCTAACATGTTAGACTTTAACAAGATATTTTCCAAATAACAACGTCTTTTGAAAAATAATGACCTCTGTTTCCTTTATGCCAATATATAATTTGAAATACACTTACGTAATATTATTTTTGACCGACTTAAAAAATAGAATAGGTATGTACTCAATTTTGATGTTTTGTGTTGTGTTTTTGTGTATATTACGCGATACTAATATTAGTAAATTACAGTGTTTAGTTTAAAATCAATAATAAATTATACATAATTGTTCTTTTTTTTAACCCGACAACGACGGGGTGTTATAAGGTTGTCGTGTCTGTATGTGTGTATGTATGTCTGTGGCATCGTAGCTCCCGGACGGATGAACCGATTTTGTTTTTTTTTCTGTTTGAAAGGTGAATTAGTTGGGAGTGGTCTTAGCTATGTTTGATGAAAATCGATCCGAGATGGTCGGTTTTTTTTTTATTTATTGAGTACTCTTTATCAATCAGTTTAAAGTAAAATATGTGAATATTTGATACATGAAAATGTGACAAAACAAGTACGAGGAAAATAAGATCCCTGCTACAAACAATTAACTAAGTTTAACCTGAATATTTAAATCAAACATGGATTTCTAAATAGTAAATAGTTCAAAATAAAACTTAACAAAAACACAAACCAACATAGAGCTTATTTAATCTAATAACACCATAAACGTTAAGTTAAATTAAAAAACTTTATTTATGCTTTGCTGTTGCATTAGATATTATTTGAATAGAGCCGTATAACTTAGACTGCATCCTACAAAAACGGCGAATAAATTCGCTGTATAGGCGAAGTTTTAATAGATCGTTTATCCCGCAATCAAGTCGGTAATAAATTAACGCCATTACTAAATTATACCAGCTTCTAGATTAATCTAGAAGTCGGGCCGCAGTCCGCGGCGGCCGCTCTTACATTATTACAGCATTCATTAGAGTTCGCTAATTACTCCTTGCTTTAATGAATAAGCTCTAATGAACCACTTTCTGTTAATTAAAGGCGGCGTGGGGGCGCGGGCCGCGGGTGGCTGGAACTTTTCTCCGGGCTCTGATTGCAAATGTGAATTTGTGTAAGTCTAGAAAGAGTGTTTCCGTTGAAAAGGGGTAATGAGGCGGTCTAGGAGCCGAATTAGTTGCAACTGCAGTATTAATTACGATTCCTAAACTTAATTACTTAGCTACTTGTTTGTATATACAAGCAATATTATTAATAAACATTGCTTTAATTAAAATGAATAAATAACACTTTGTTGTTATTATATATAAATATGTATTTTACTAACAAAATTGCAAATAGCATTCAAAATTATATTTTTATAATAGGTTTTTGCTTCTTTATAATAGTTATAACTAAATAGAATTGGCTTATTAAGAATAGGAGATACGTTGGATACGTTCCTACCCTTTTATGTTAGGTTTTATTACCGTTAACTTAATTAAATTTAATTAACATTTTTCTCGTCTTATATCTCATTATTCTTTTTATAATATGATATTTAAATTTTGTGTATTTATACCTATGTAAATACATTGTACATGAAAACCAGCTATAGCTGGAGCCACCATTTTCTATGCAGGAAGTCAGATACAAATCTGCACTATGATGAAAAACATTAAAATGAAAAATAATCTAAATTAAAAAAAATAATATTTGTGTATCGATTGCATTTTTACAACTGTTTTATAATATAGTATTCTATAGGGCACAAGTTCAAATATGACCCGAGGGAATTAAGTTGTGAAAAAAACTGATACATATATGTAAGTACTTGAATAAAGAGCAGGTGATTAGATTGGCTCATGAATGAATAAAAATAAATCAATTTATTGTTATTTTTGTTAATTTATTTTTGTGTACATCACAATTTATACTTATGTCTGTATGAACCCATATTTCGATGACTATATTATAATATTTACTTGAAAAACAAAAAAAATATATCCCACGGGAACCGTACATTTTTCCTCGATAAATGTATGCTAATGATAAGCCTATGTGCTATTCCAGACTATAATCTATCACTGTGCCAAATTTCATTAAGTTCCGTTCAGCCGTTCTGGCGCGATTGAGTAACAAAAATCCACCTATAGTAGTACAATCGACTCACCCTCGCTTCGCTCGGGTTCGTCTCTTGGTACTTTTTTACGGTTAGTATGGACTTCCTACGGGAACCGTACATTTTTCTGGAATGAAAAGTAACCTACGTGCTATTCCAGAATCCAGACTATAATCTATCTGCCAAATTTCATTCAGATCCAGCTCTTTCGATCCAGAGCAGTTCTGGACTGATTGTGTAACAAACATCCATCCATCCAAACTTTCGTATTTATAATATTTATGGGAAAATTAAGATTAAATTAAAAAGTCGCGGGTTCGAGTCACGCTGGGGGCATTCATTTGTGTGATGATGTGATGAGCACGAATGCTTGTACTCCAGTCATGGGTGTTGATATTTATAATATGTATGTATTTAAAGCTATACCTATAGGTATGTGTAGTGTATCAGCTATATGATATCCATAATACGGACCTCGTAGCTTACCATGGAGCTAGATGTTGCTGTGTTTTAATATCCCAACATATATTTAAATTAAAATGAGCATCTGATATCTTGGCGTACTTACAAAAGATACTTTAATGCTCACATATGATATTTTGTATTTTCTATGACTTATCTCTGCATTACAGTTACAAAGTAGGACAATCAGCAGCTATTAATTCAAGTAATTGGCTCGATATGAAAGACCAAGATAGAGACAAAGCAACCAAGATACTAAGAATATGATTCAAATATATTAAACGTTTCAAGAACGATAAGTGATCGATGAAAATGTCTTAATCAATCGTTTTGTTTGCACAAAATATTAACATATATATGCTAAACTTGGTATCGTAACTAAAAACGCATAACTGAATAATTTTACAGTATCATTATACTTTTCAATGTAATTATTGTAACGTACTACTTTTCTGTTAAGGTGCAACTATTTTTATAGTTTTTACTATTTTTGTCTGTCTGTGAACGCATGACGACAAAATCACTGGACAGATTTTGATGAAATTTGGTATGATGATAGCTGTTTATCCGGGTCAACATATAGGATACTATTTACTATGTTAAAATATGTGATAGTATTTATATACTTTTGATACTTTTGAATTAATTTATTTAGTTATAAATACATTATAAGTATGAATTAATTTTAAAAAATTACATCCATTCCATTAAAACAAAAGAAAAAATAAACCTATGATTAATATACATTATTTATTCTTACCTATTCGCAAAATAGTAACAGAAATAATAGTGTAGCTACTTTATAAGTTATTACATATTATCAAACAGTGTAAATAAATCTCTAATGTGTAATTTTTCAAAAAGTATAAATAAAAACTTTATTCCAACACAACTGGTTAAAAGAAAGTATTATTGTTACATTTCATACTTATTATAATATCTTTAAGGTTATTGTGAAGAAGTTTCACTCGTAGCACATCTGAGGAAGTCCTAGCTATTTATTTGGTAAATGATGTATACATTTAACATATATAAATATATATATATATATATATATATATATATATATACAAATGTCAGGTGATGAAACCTTACATATGTTTGATTAATAAAGCGGTTACTAGGTCTATTTTAAGATATTACGAAAATAGGGCGAATCGCACTCAACGAATAGTCAATGAGCGTGAAATACTGAAGGATAATAAGGAGTTAACCAATGTTGGGCGACTATAAAACTGGCTTTCGCCGTGTTTTAGTATCAGACACACATTGTTACTGATTTTGTTACGTGCTTAGTAAATAATTTGTCAGTCAAAATGTACACCATTTTTGCGGTGAGTTTGGATCTACATACGTTTCTGTGTTTTTAATCAATTGTTTCCTTCTGTGATATATATTTTTCTATAAATCAATTTTTAAGGAAAAATATTTGCTTTTGTGTATGTGTATTTTTAAAATCTTACAAAATAACTATAGACTTTAGACAAATCTTTACGTCAATCGTTTTATATAAAGGTTTATTTTTAAATAATAAGATTTAATGCAACATCTATTTTAAAGTACTATTCAAGTTCAAGTTAAACTAATATATTTTATTCATTTTATAGCTAGCCTGCTTCTTCGCTTCTGTGGTGGCCGCTCCAAGTGGCTATGGAGGATACGAGCTAGGGGCAATCGACAGCTATGTTAGTTCTTTAACTATCATAATTTAAAAACAAACATTTTTTAAATTAGTGCGGATAAGTGACTTATTAAACACCAGTAACCAGGGTTCGGAACCGGTTTTAAAAACGTTTTATTTCCGTAAAACGGTATTATTTATGGTTCACTTTACTATTAGAGAAACGTTGGATTTTAGTTTTGATATCGAAATAAACCGGTTAATTCATTCAGTAAGAAACGTCCATGTATCCTTCTACTAAGCAATTCACAATTAGTAAAGATTCGCTCACAAAAACTCTTTTTAACCGGTTAATTTCGATCATGGAACCTTCATTTGTCAAAAACCGTTTTTGGGGATTTAGCCGGTTAAAGAATTTAACCGAAATCTTAAACCGAAAAACCTTTCGGTTAGCGGTCAATCAATTACCAAAACCGGTTTAAAATTGAACGAGTTTCCAAGCTCTGTTGGTAACCAAGTTTTTAAGAATTAACTCTCTATAAAACTACCTTCATATAAGCAGATGAAATTTAAGTGCAATTATTTTTACATTCTATGTACTTTTCTATCTAAATACACTTTTCTTTTGAAAGAATTCTTTACATAGTAACAATTTTGTAATATGTGTATTTTACGCTGCATGTACTAGAAAGTGGTAAACTCGACCATTATATACCTAATTTTTATGTTGAAACATTAAAAGGCCTCGTGGAATATTAGTATATAACAAATAATTACTGATACATGGAATATAGAAATCAAAACGAGGGCAGGCCGAAAGTTACATACATCCAACAATACAGCCGTATACACGATGTCTTTAAAGTGATTTTTTAAATATAAATAATTTCCTAAATATAAATAATTGTTTCAGTCTGCACCACGCTATGAATTCAACTACGCTGTGAATGATCCCCAAACTGGTGACAATAAAGCACAATCTGAAGTACGAGACGGCGATGCGGTGAAGGGCTCGTACTCACTCACCGAGCCCGACGGTACCCTGCGAGTCGTCGAGTACACCGCAGACTCCGCACGAGGCTTCAACGCAGTCGTCAAACGTATCGGCAAAGCATCCCATCCACAAACTATAATCGCCCCAGTAATCTCTAAACAAATTGTTGAACCAGTCTATCAACAGATCGCTGCTCCTGTTGCTCCCGTTTTAAATGATGCTTACTCCAGTAGTTTGCTCGGCTATGGAGGATATGATAACGGACTAGGATCTGGTCTGGGATGGGGATCAGGTCTGGGGTTGGGATCGGGTCTGGGATTGGGAAACCTGTGGGACGGTGGTCTTGACTACGGAAGTTGGAAACATTAATCTGAACCCCTAGACTATGTATTTTCGTGTCTGAACGTGCTTATTTGTAACTTCAAACACGTTCATTGGCGAAAATTATTATAGTTAATATATTAAGGAAGACATATATTAAGGTATACTTAACTATGAAGGAAATAAAAATATATACATAAATATTTCTTTATTTGTAATGTCCAAAAATGAAATGTAGGTACTTCTTGTACAATAAGATAGCTCTATCTTATAAATTGTAACTTTTATTTCCTACTTGATAGGATTTTTATTAGAATTACCTCTACAATTTTATAGTATTTAAATGAGAAGAGTAAGTTACAGAGGAAAGGGATTAAAACGAACGGAAATGTCCAGGCAGTTGGCTTTCATGATAGGGGCTGTATTTTAAACACGTATACGTAGCGTTTTGCAATCGTTCCACATATTTATAGTAAGTACAAAAATATAGCGAGGTCTAGGTGATTATTTAAATTGACATAAGTTTTTTATTTATGAATCGATTGAAATAAAACACACTAAATCTTAAGTGAAGCTTACCACAATACATAGTGAAAACCTCACCCAAATCGGTAAAGCCGTTTCTGAGATTAGTGCGTACATAGGCTACTTTTATTTTAGAAAAAGAATTAGGGTTCCGCTCAAAAAAAATAAAACGCACCTAGGTGCGTACCACTGCCTTATTGCACTTAATTTAGTACAATTTGGCACGCTGATACCTTATATTACCGGTCAAACAACAGGTTACTTTTTATACCGGAAAAATGAACGGTTCCCGAGGGATAGATCTGTTTGTGCTTATCTAGAGGCGAACCATACACACAAGTTATATTTTCCCGAAACGATGATCGGCTTGTTGCAATATTTCCCTTACATGCAATCTGCTACTTTCCTTATAAAAAATGAATTTTTACACCTAATAAAAAAGATGCTATAAAATGTATTTTTACGCTGCTTAATACACAATTTCTCTCCGCGGCTTCACCTGCATTAAATTTTTGTTGCAGCGTTCACAGTGGGCCCTTATATTCAGAATTTAAGTGTATATTTGATTAGGGTGACTCATTAGTGTGAAGTATATAGTGGTAAATCTGTCACAAAATACTTTAAAATTCCTTTGAGAAATAAAACATTATAAAAATTTACTACACATTTATTTCTCATAAATAAAACACGAACACATACATAGATATACATTGTATTAAATGCACATATTTGAGCTGTACGCACGCACACACCGACCTACCGACACACTGCTTTACTACGAGACATTGAAAATACATTTGAGAAAAAATATATACAACAATTGGTCAAAAAACCATTTTAATTCAAATAAAACATAGCCATATAATACATTATACATTACATCACATTAACCGCTTTTATTAATCAAATTAATCATTTAAAGTGTATTTCTGTTGGTAATTAGCAGGTATAGTTGTGAGGTGGTCGCGGGGTGGTCACGGGGTGGTCGCAAGGTGGTCGCAGAGTGGTCGTAGGGTGGTCGCAGAGGGTTAGGAGGCGACACGCGCGTCCCCAAACAGCCAGAGACAGATGCGGTCCACGAGGTATGCAAACACCACATCTGCTATTAATACTTGCACTAAAATAACTCGGTACTGGAACAAAAGAAAAATATTTATAATTAATCGGACTACTAAGGTAAATGCAACTTTGTACGTGTGTATGTTTGTTTCTCCTTCACCTTGAAACGGTTAGACGGATTTGGATCAAATTTAGTAGAAAAACTGTGAAGTAACACATAACGCTATTTGTATGGTAACTAGGAACTAGGAGGGTAGAGGTAAGGAGTCTCTTATATGGAAGACAAGTTGACAAAGTATCAAACTGTGTGCTAAAAACAGATGGCGCTGACGTACGAAAAATTACGATATGAATTTAGCTGTTGTAGACGGAGTGAAGTGTGCCGAGTTCAAAAATTTAAAATGTTTCATGACTAACGTAGTTAATGAAATATCACCCAGTATATAAAACCTCAACTATTTACGTGGTCAAAAATAATTAAGTAAATATAACCACCTTGTTTATTTTCAAATCAAATCAAAATATACTTTATTGAAATAGACTTTTACAACTCTTGAATCGCCAATTTTACATTTTAAATTTAAGTTGTATTCAAAAATTTAAAGTCAGTGTAGTCAGTCCGTGAGGAGTCTACCACCGGCTCGGAAGGCACTTCTGCTGAGAAGAGCCGGCGAGAAACTCAACGGTTGCTCTCTATCTCACTCTCATTATTTTTGACGCTTTCTTTAAAATTTATCGTCTTATACCGCAGCGCCATTCTTGTTGGACGCGTTTTGACGGACATTTTTTCATCACAGAGATAGTACTCCTTGAATCTACCCTCCAGGCTCCATACTAGGAAGTAGAAACGCATCAGGGCAAAGTTAGGTTAAGTTGCCTGTGATAAATAATAAGAATGATAATAACTAATAATTCAGCTCTTTTTATCGTCCCACTGCATGGCAGGGGGGTTCCTCACAACAAGCTAAGCTAACTAATAAAAAAATTAAACAAAGACATATTTAATACTTTCTTAGATTTACGCGAATATTTGACATTTTAAATAAAACTATCATTTCGGATTATTTCGCGGATTTATTTTGATTTTTGGTTTCCGATGTCTCGAATGCCTTATAGCAATCATGGTCACGGGAGAGACTAAGATTATAGACGTCTCAAAGGCGTTATCACTCACATCTGGCGGGAAGTTGACGACCTCGAAGAGTGCGGAGAGCTCGGGCACGAGGCCGGCGGCGAGCGCGAGCACGGCGCCGCCCGACACCAGCACGCTGTACAGCAGCGGCTTGTTGTCGCGCAGACCCTCCATGAAGGGCTCGCCCTGCACACAATGTTACGTCTATATTAATATTATATCTGTGTGCATTTTACGCAATAAGTAAACATACCTAGGGAACGCACCAGAGCGAAGCGAACTAGTATATGTAATAAATATCTTAAATTTATTTAATAACTACTACTTCTGACTTAATTCACAAATATCTACGTTGCACGGCTTCTTCTGCTGACGAAACATTTTTGAAATTCATCCACCAAAGGCAATTTAGTTTAGAAAAATGGAATTAAAATTTTAGGTTTTATTTATAAATAAAAACATTGCATTATTCATGAAAATCATTACACATTTGACAGAATAAAGTCGCTAAAAAAATAAAATGTATATTTATTATCTGTGTAATAATAATAATGTCCTCCCGACCGATTCCGGCCACAGCGGTCAATCTCATTGAGACTAGCCAACTGCGCACAAGATATTATAGTGCACAAGTGTACGCGCAGACACAACGTGCACTCTCTATTCCTGTCACTCTCATAGATGATGGGAATTTGAAAGATAATTTCTAGACAGATTGAGAGAAACAAGAAATCTATGAGAATTTCTTGACAGAAATACTCAGTAACTGAACTTGGCCCGATCCGAGACTCGAACCCAGGACCTCCTTTGCGACCATACATGCTAGCCAGACCATCTGATACATACCCTATAGTTAACAGCAAAGGTCGAAATCTGAAGAGCCATTGAGATAATATAGACAGTACTATTGAGCAGATCCGGAACGAAAACGCGGTCTTCGTCATCTGCCAGATCCATATCCAATTTAGGTTTTGTGTCCCTGGAAATTAAATATCATTTGAAAATTATAAGTTATTTATTATTTGGTACATATAATAGGATTTTTAATTATTTTAACTTATACTCTGTTATAATTTCATATGTTGTTATTTCGATATTACAAGAAGACACTTCAGTTTTATTTATCTGTATAGATTTAACTTATCTCACCTTTCAGGCGAGCGTGAGTTTGCTTCGCGAACCAAATACACGAGACATATAAAATGAACTGCGAACTGAGCAAGCACCGTCACTATTGTGTACACATTGAATATGTTCGGGAGAGGCCGCTGCTTGGATAAATGCTTTAATGGCTGAAAAAACATTTTTGATAGATAAATTAGTTAGTTCTAATTTATCAAAACTAATGACACAGCATGATGATCGAAAACTTAATATTTTTCTAATCAATAAAAGGACAGGTAGCAAAATAATTGCTCATTGACATTGTTTTTTTGAAGTTATACTTCTTTTGGGACATTTGAAAAAAATTATGAGAGTAAAATTTTTTCTTTCTTTCTTTTTCGGTACATATACATAATTTGTTTTAAACATTGTTTAAGAAAATTTAATGACAGTAAAAATTAGTCTGAAATGATTAATAAATATAATTTATTCTTAAGAAATATCAACTTACCTTAGATCTCGATATAAAGAGGAAACAGGAGGCAAGCAACAAACTTTGTAGTGTCGCCTGAACATCACTGAACTTTATACCATCCAGGTAAAGCACCGACTGACTGTACGCCAGTATGAGAGCATTGAGTGCTAGGATCTTGAACATTTGGAGGGTCGTCACGAGCGTACAACGGCCTTGTTTTATTATGTGACAAACTAAAATTAAATAGTTAAATTTATTAGCGTCAGCGTAAAATGTTTAAATGAAGAGTAACAACTAGAATTATTCTATACTAGCGACTCACCCTTGGTTCGCTTCGGGTTCGTCCCTAGACAAAAACAAATTATCCCACGAGCACTGTACATTTTTCCAGGATGATATATAACCTAATAGGCTTCCTCAATAAACCAACTATCTAATACAAAAAGATTTTTTCAAATTGGATTAGTAGTGCCTGAGATTAGCGCGTTCTGCGCGATCTGCACCAATAGAACAAGAAAATCTATAAGCCTGAAAATCTGTGCCATCTTTTGGGAAAAATATAATTCCTATTCCCACTACATACAAGTGAAAAATAATTTCCCAAAAAAAAACAGCAATACTCACTACAAAGTATACTAGACAGTCGGCTAGTAAATGGGGCGGCGACACTAGCGTCACCCAGTCTAACCAGTTGTGGGTGGTCTTCCTCTTCCAACTTCTTCAAAGCTCTGCGTAACCTGGCTGCTGCCTCAGCGCGGTCTGCGCGGAGGTCCCGGGGCTCACGAGGGTCTCGGGCCTCACGGAGGGGCAAAGGTTTACGGGGCTCGGGTTCCGAAGGACGTTCAGGTGCATTTGCGAGGATCGCCACTCCAACCTTAGAAAGACCACTTAGAATGTTTTATATTATCAATGATATTTTTTGATGTTTTTGGTTTTGGATTTAGAAATTATGATGCTATAAGTGGCAGTGTTGAGTTACTCTTGTGATAAGCTTGTGTTTAACATAATTGTTAGGTGAAGTGTGTATAACATCACTTATCGCGTTTATGTTTTCGATAATAAGGTATTTATATTTTAAGCTATAATACTTCTCTCATCGTCTTTTACGAAAGTATTTAACAAAGAAATAAAATATTATTCAAGTCACTTACATCAGCATGTTTCAAGGCCCCCACGTCGTTGGTACCGTCGCCACACATGAGTGTCACATATCCTAGGGACTTCAGAGTAACAATAATGAACTCTTTCTGTTTTGGCGCAAATCTAGCGAATACTTTTATGTGCGCTATAATTTCTAGTAAAAACTTACGATTATTCTCATTCAGGAATGTAAGGCCTTCTCCAGTTATACATAAATCATACTTTTTAGTTAGTTCTTTGGAAGTTTTAAACGGTTGCAATGGAAGCTCTACGGTCTCATTAATAGACTTCCATTTCCACTCATTATTACTTTCACTTAAAATGAGCACTTCATCCGTCTGTGTGAATTTAAGTTCTTTTGCAACATGGCAGGCTGTCAAAGGATTATCACCGGTAATCATCACTACGGAATGTGACGCATGCACAATTTCTGCTATCGCTTTTTTGGAATCACTTTTCAAAGGACACGAGATAATAACAAAACCAACAAAAGTCAAATCAGATTCCACATCCTCTCTGGACAAATCTCTAATTTCCTGAGAAGATAGCTTTCCTAAATTTCTATATCCTAAAGCTAAAACTCTTGCACCTCGTCTGGATAAAGTTAAATGCACGTGATCATAATGGCTAGGAACTTCTTTTAACATTGTTTTGATTGTTTCTGGTGCACCTTTCACACTGCTAATATAATGGTTCTCTAAAAATCCTCTGTCATTAACCTGGTAGCCAGCTACTACAGACATACGCTTTAAAGCACTTGCAAAATGATTTCTATGAATAATTTTTAAGCCGGGTGACTTTCCTTTTTTTGGCACAACAGCATCTCCTTTAGTGAGGTTCCATTCAGCTGCTTTTAATGTTGCTTTTTCTAGAGGATCTCCTACAACTCCATCATCTAATTGTACTAATGAATGACAAGATGCTAATACTTGTATAGTCTCCATTGGGGCTTCGGATAATGGTATAACAGTTGCATCTGTATGGTCACCTACACCTGCCACTCCCTCCACTACCAAATTATCACTTGTTAATGTGCCAGTTTTATCAAAACAACATATTTCAACTTTTCCTGCAAAAGGTATCCTAAATGGTTCTGTACAATATACTGCTAATTTTGATAATGAAAATAAAGATGTATTAACAGCCAAAGATAATTCAATTGGCAACTCTGGAGGTATAACAGATGTCAAAATTAAAGTACATTCCAAAAATAGTTTATATCTATTCCTCTCAGGATCTTCACATCCCTTTATCCACACATAAGCTGCTGCTGCAATAGCGAATATTAGAAGAAATAAAATGAAACCAAATGTTTCTAGATTGTTGGCTGTGACCCTTTTAACACCAAACAGAATTGTTCTTAAGAGTTTCCCTTGTGATGTATTGAAACCATTGCGAATAACATACCCAATGCAACCATTATCAGGAGCTTTAAGTCCTGAAGACACATTTTTACTGGGCGATGAGTGCTGAACTATTTTAGTACCACCAAAAAGCATATGCAACTTGCCGTCTCCATCAACTACTAAATTTTGTTGAAGATCTTTCTCATTTTCCAATGGTTCCTTCATTTGTGGAACACTCTCCCCAGTTAACATGGACTCATCAACTATACAGGAACCCCTCAATAATAGAATATCACAGGGAACTAAATTATCAGTAAGAGAACGAGTGAGTGATACAATATCACCAGGTAGCAGTTGATCACTTACAACTTGGCGCCATCTTCTGTTTCTATACACGTGGATGTTGTAAGGCTTATTCCCCATCTTTCTAATTTCTGCCATATTTCTTAATTGTTGCTGTACCAAAGTGCATTCAAACATAACCAACATAATTAGAGTAAAGAAAGAGTAATACCAATATTTATCAAGACACCAAAGGGCAACGCAGAATACTTGAAAAACAAAAAATGGTGCAGTTGCTCTTTCCTTAAATAGTTCCATAAATTCGGGTACAACCTATAGGAAAAAGGGAGAATTTATTGTATAATGTATTTGAATATCTACTGAAAACAAAATTAGTAATGTTGTATTCTTTTACTTTACCATAATCATTTCATTTTTTCCAAATTCTTTCTCAGCTAAATCTATAGATTCATCATCTAAATAGCCTTTGGATTCCACATATTCCTTATATGTTTTATTAACAGGAAATTCAACTGTTTTGAATGATTTCTTATCCCAGTCATAAATATATTTGCTTTTTTGAAATATAAACCAAACATCTGGATTATCAGTATCTTTCTTGGTAGACTAAAAATGAGAATGATTATTGAAATACTTTTTAATCTTGTACATAATTATATTTAAAAGTATTAAGCTATACCTTTGTATGGTGAAGCTTAACAATTTCAGAAAACCCATTGTTAGAAGTGGGAACCACTTTAACAATTTCCGCTTGTAAAGGATCCTTAACCTGTAAATAAAATGTCACATCTGTAATTGTGCTAAATTGTCATTTCTATAGATATTCTATAAAGCTAGTAGTTTAAATATACTTACCGGTGTACAAGATAGAAAACACTGAATATGAACACTCCAATAGCAGCAAAGACAAATAAAAATTTGTATGATTGCTACCACTGATACAATAACGAAACCCGCTTCAAAGTTTTCGTTAAAACCGTATACGAAGATCCAACAATAAAATATTATCGGGAATATTATCAAAAAAGGCAGCACTGTTCCTTGCAATACAGTAGCCACAGGTTTAAATAATTGTGTATATTGAACTAAGTCGTCCAATGACGACTGCATCTTGTTTAGTGCCATTCTTTCGTTCCAACTTTGTTTCAAACACGAAGCAAAAACAAAGAAATAAATATGATAGTTAATTAAGGTCTAAGCAAACATTTTACATTCCTAGAATATCCTAAACCATTGGTAATAACTTAATATTTTGACTAAACTAAATTCAAATACCCAATACCAATAACATGACACGAATACCTGTGTCACTTGACTACATTGACAGCTAAACTGAATCCTAATTTGACAATTGACAAGTATGCAGTGCGCATGTTTTTGTTTTTTAAAATAAATAATAATATTAAATATATTTATGACAGATAAATACAATGACTATCCCATGAAAGTTTTTAGTTAATTACACAAATATTTCAAAACCTAAAAAAATATTAAAATAATTCATATTTTCCCTGTTTCTTAACCGTGCCATAAATTCCTAAACCACTCGTTACTAACTCGTGAAAAATGAACATTAACTGTCGGCTTGTCAAAAATTTAGCGCCAAAACTGATTAGTCAGCCTAAACACTAAACTTGAAATTTGAATTACAAACTTTATGATAATTCAAAAAACCCTAATATTCTAAAAATTAAGTTATAAGTGACATTATGGATTTCAAAATAAAAAGAAAATCTACTAAAACTATTACTACAGGTAGTCTTATTGAAAATTATCCTCATGATTTACAAATGTACAAAATCCCTCCAACACAAAACATATCACTACAAACATTTGAGACATTAGCACTAGAAAGACTTACTTTATTACGGACCTTAGCGACTGCTACAACCTTAAAGGGTTTTCGAATGTATTCTGAAGAATGGACCGATTTTGTGATAAAAGATTTGAAGAACCAAGGATTAAAATACTATGCAAAACTCTGTGAAAACTCAGGATGTGGGACACTTGAGGCTGACTTAGAAGCAAGGCGCAAAGATCATATTTCTCATTTCATTTTGAGATTAGCGTACTGTAGAACTGAGGAGTTACGTCGCTGGTTCATTTCAAGAGAATTAGAATTATTCAAAATGAGATTTATGACCATGAAGTCTGATGCTATCGATTCATTCTTTAAATTAAATAACCTCTGTTACACTAGCATTTCAAATGATGAAAAAAATGAAATCATGAAATATTTACGAGAATCAACATTTTACCAAAACAATCAAAATATAGAATCGTTTAAATTTTATAAAGTTAAATTTTATGAGGTTCTGGACTTAATCAAAGCTAGAAAAGTTTACCTTCAGGGTGGATATGCCTATATTCCACATAAAGATTTTATTTCAGTCCTCTCTGCTCAATTCAGGATGCACTTGCGACAAAGTTTAGCTATTGCAAGTCACCACTTAGGAGAGATTGAACAAGATGAAAGACTTGTTTCTTTACTTAAAGGTTTACATCAATCATATTCAGGAAATGACTACACTAGTGATGCAAAAGTGTCAATCCCAATTGAAAGAATTGATTCTCTATCTATAAAATCTTTTCCTTTGTGTATGAAACAACTTCATGAACAGCTTCGAGTGGCTCATCATTTAAAACATGGAGGTAGATTGCAATATGGTCTTTTTATAAAAGGAATTGGTGTAACACTTGAAGATTCTCTAAGATTTTGGAGAGAGGAATTTACTAAAATTATGGAATTAGATAAGTTTGAAAAGCAATATGCTTACAATATCAGATATAATTATGGAAAAGAAGGCAGTAAGAAAAACTACACACCTTTCAATTGCTTAAAAATTATAAATACAAACGTAGGTCCAGGAGAATGTCATGGTTGTCCATTTAGACACTGTGATAACAGCATCTTAAAAAATAAGCTGAAAGGATATGGATTTGAGGGACAAGGTATAAAAAAAACTTACATAATTCAGATTAAAATTTATTTATTTTTATTCTTACAATACTTATTCTGCATATTTTACAGCTGTCAATGATATTGTGGATATGGCTAAAAAAGGACACTACCAAATAGCATGCAGTAAATATTTTGATGCAGTGCATAATACAGATCTTGGCTTAGGTATCAATCATCCAAATCAGTTTTTTGAAGAGAGCCAGAAAATTATAAGGGGAGATATCAAAATTGAGCCAAAGAAAGAACAATCAACAGGATCTATAAATAAGAAAGAACTGGATGGATTTGAAGATATGGACTATGATGAGATTGCTGAATGGAAAGAATAATTATTTTAAATTTAAAAATATTTTGCTATATTTACAATTTGTCTATTTTCTTTTTATATACATTGCCCTTTTAGTTACACGACCACAATATAAACCAAATATAAAAATTAAACCTACAATTGAAATTCCTACAACTAAAAAATATTTTTTAGAAGGTGAAGTTGAAATCTCATCATACATATCACCAAGGTTTTCTATCACATTTACCTGAAAACAGAAAATATTCAAGAATTACATAAAGATTTAAATAGTTTTATAGTGATTTACATTTAATAAGTGAAATGTGATTTTGTCTACATTAAATTCTTTAAAGGCATTTTTTTATTTGGATATTTTATAGTATCAAAAAACTTACTGAAGCAACATATCTGTACATCTCTAATCTGCTCGATAATTCCTTTTGACATTCTGTTTCAAGTTTTCTATTGCTGTCATTTAGAATAATTTTTAAACATTTAAGTCCTGAAATAAGCGGTAGTTAAATTATATTTGTTTCTAATAACACCCTGAAAAATTCATTTAAAACTGAGTTTGTTGATGGGTATCATATTACATAATATGTATTGAATTCAGTCAACTTCAACAGACAATTTGAGTTTTTTTATTCAATACTAGCAAAACCAGCGGCTTCACTCGCGCTAAAACTGCAAAAAAATCTCTAAAAAGGTAGTTACTAGTTTCATACAAACTTTCATCCTCTATTTAACCCCCATTTATAGGATGAATTTCCAAAAATGCTAAAACACATACCAAGTTTCAAGTAATTCTGACTAAATATTTTTTTGGATTGTATTATAATGTGTTTCCCGACGGAATCAGATAATACTTATCCCGCGGTAAAAAGTAGCCTATGTCACTCCAGCCGTCCATCTATCTCTACACAAAAAATCACGCCAATCCGTCAGTCCGTTTCGCCATGAAAGAAGGAAAAACAAACTACACACACTTTCAAATTTATAATATTAGTATAGATTTTGGCGTACTTGGCGTAACGTCATAGTCTATGACATACATACATCATAAAACATGACAATCAATGAATGAAATATGAATACTCGTAGGTCTAGATTGTTAGTACCACTACCAAACACCAAACAACAGCTCTATTATAATAGACTGACGTCACATTCGGTCTGACCAATGGCGTTGCGTTTCAACTACTTTGAATTTTAGACTTTTAAATAATTTTTTTCTTCATAAAAAAGAAATTACATTAAAATATTGATAAAGGCTTAATTCAGAAGCAATAAAGATTATAAAAAAAATGTTTCACCTTCATTTAAAACACATGTATGTATATTCCCTATTCTTCACATTCAGCATATTAAATTTTAAACTGTATTTCTTTAATATTATTTTAATAATAGATTATTAATTAAATACAAATTTTACGCTATAATACCATTAATTGATATCCCCAGCTTTTTGATTGACATACAAATCAAGTAAAACTCTTGAGCAAATCAGAAATGATATAATTAATCTTACGTCTGCCAGCTCCATGTTCAAGGTCTTTGCAGTATTTCAACAAGTCCAAAGCACAAGCTCGTTCTAACAAAGGATCAGCCTCAATATCCACTTCTGTTTCTTCTATAATCTGTACTACTTCACGCGCGCATTCAGCAGACACAATTTTGTGATTCAAAAGTGCATTTTTTAAACATTCCTCCACCTAAACAACAAGTGGAAATTGTGACAATATATTGCATTAGAGAATGTAAAACGACAAGTAAAGAAACAGTGTTGTTAGTAAAATTAGGTTTCTAAAAGCCCTGAACTGACTTTATTACTGACTACCTAATGTAGGCAAATTCATGGGAAGAGTTATCAATATCTGTTTTGTTACATTTTTTAGATAAGAGGATTTCTTATTTACATTACTTTATATACCTTAAATCGAAAGTTGTAATTTGTGTTAATTTTAATGAATTTATATGATTAAATATGATTATCTCCTTGATTTAAAATCATATGCATGATTATCTATAATCTCTGTGTTGTAAAACATTTTGCTTGTCTTCATAAAACCTAATTTTTAAAGTGTTTTTTTTTTATTATTTTCTTTAATAATTTTGCAATTTTGGCAACTATAAAAAAATCATGTTTATCTACATGTTTAAAGTCTTCAAGCAAAATAGGAGTTTTTGCATTACTATTTATCCCTATTTAACATAGTCCCTGCAGGAAAGTGTATGAAAATTTCATTAATATGTAGAAAAAAAAAGGATTACTGCAAAACTTGTTATTTATTAATTACTATAAACTAAGTAGATTTAGTTTAAAAAAATATGTTAATATGAAATAAGTAAGCATACAAAGCTGGGTGCAACAGCTAGTTAAATTATAAAATCACCTGTCCATCCGAATTAGTAATGGAATCATTTGGCACTGTGCATATCGTTTGAATTTCAGCCTTACACAATTTCCCTAAGAGTGGATCAAGGCGATAATTTAAAGCCTGCTCTTTCAAAACATTCGCCAGCTCATTTTCGCAAGTTTTCTCTAGTTTAGACTCTCTGAATTTATCCTTTAAGCAATACAACATTTTACCTTGAAGTTCAACATCTTGTGGTTCATTAACTAAAAAACAAAGAAATAACTTTGATACAAAAGTTTTACATAAAGACAACAGTATTGTTTCTTTTGTTTTTCTTACCAATCACGCTCATGCAAAATCTTTTTATATCTCCTTTACAAGCATTTTGTAAGTTATTGTTGAACCGATAATCCAAGTTTTGTTCTATCATTCTGTTAACAACTACAATCTTACAATTGTTACTGAAGTCTGCTTCCTGGCGATGTGCCTGTAATATTAAAATAGTTTTATCAGTTAAACCTTTTTTTAAGATAATTTAAATGTGTTCCTCTCAAGCAGACACATTTTTTTGACATTAAACTTTTACATACCTTTAAACAATCTAAAAGGACTGTTGGTTCTGTTTTGTGGCAATACAAATCTATCATATCACTGCAGCTCGTTAGTAAACGATAATCAATACCGTTGTCTGAAAACTCTTGTTTTCGTACAATAAATATTGCCTTTTTACAATTATCACTCAACTTTCCCTTAGCTGTTTGGAGACATTCCAAAGCTGCGGATTCACCGTGAGGTACAGATGGACAAAATTCTTGCAAATCATTTTTACATGCTTCTTTAAGTTCTGGATCTAAGTCAATATTTTCTTTTTGTTGAAATAGTTGACTTCTAAGTTGTTGACGACATTCCTTGTATATAGTGTGCTTTCTTCTTGTTATAGTATCATTTCTTATAATCTCACTCAAACACATCACAACCTGCACCTTTGTTTGAGCCTTTGGACAAAATCTTACAACATAAGATTTGCATGCATTTTTAAATTTCCTTGTGAATCTATAATTTTTAAGCGAGATTAATTGTTCATGTTCAATGGCAGCCCTACATTTTATATTTGCTTTAATTTCTGCATCATTTTTATGTGCTATTAGGCAATCCAAAATATCGTCTTCATCTTTTTTGCTTCTTAATTGAGATGTACAGAGTTTTTCTATAGGAACTCTGCAATTGGTACTTATAACAACATTCAGTTCAATGTGGTCACTTTGTGTTTCAGTAAAGTTTGTCACAACTTCCTTACATTTTGGTGATAACTCTTTTATTTTACTTTGTAAGCACATAATTTCTTCGCCCTTCCCAGTATTTTCAAAACAATTATTAGCCAAATCATCTATACAACTATCAGCTATCTCAGGGAGCAGATCAACACTAACAGCCCTTTGTCTCATTACTCTTCTTACCTGCTGTTCACATGCTGGTTTAAGTACACCTCTGAGCTCTGAATTATAAGCATAATTATACAAACAAGGTAATACTAGAGGATCTTTTTCAGAAGGATGTTCATTAATATCGGCCCACTGTAATTTTGCTTTACATTGTGTAACAGCATCAAATTTACAAGCCTTATATAACTGAGGATCAAGTTTAAAATCTCTAGAAATAAAATATTGTATTTGCAGTAGTGCATTTTCACAATCTGTTGTCATTAGAACTGTCCCTAGTTTCTCCATGAGGCAAGACATAACTCTACCATTGCCCCCATTAACTTCACGACAAGCTCTATCGACAACTGGCTTACATGCTTTTCTTAAAATTGGATCAACTCTCCAGTCTTCACCAGGGTCAGCTTCTTGTACTAATATTTCCAAAGATCTTTGACAAGCTAGGCTAATTCTTTTATCTTTTCTTTTTCGTGGTCTAGCATGTTCCATTAAGCAATGTATTGTACGGCCCCCTGCTTCAATACCTTTACATAACATTGTGATATCATTAGCACAATTTTGCATTAACTCTGGGGATAATCTATAGTCATCCATAAGCATTTTTCTATGATCAGTCATTTCAGCAATACATTCTGGAGAAAGATTTGTGCTATTGATGCGTGAAACATTTTCTAGACATAGTAAAATTTGTGCAAGTCGTACGTCTTTGTCTTCCACGACACCTTTTCGACAGTGATATTTACGTATATCTTCTTTACAAGATTTCACCAAGCTTTTACTATTTTTATAATTCATTACCATATTTCTTTGTAAATAAAATAATTGATCTTGACACTGTTTCGTCATGGCTGAAATAGCAACTAGATTTAATAATATGTAAAACATAATGAAAGTTATAATTATACTACTTTGTTATTTATTAAGATTTGACAAACCAATAAGAACTTTAATTTTAAATTGTCTGAGATTAAACTATTTACAATATGTACATTGTACACTCATGCATGTGTATTTATGGAAAAGTAGCATTGCCCGCGGCTCCGCCTGCATTCAGATGAACAAAAACCAAATTCTTAGGTTTTATATATTAGTATACTCTTACATTGTAGTTTTTGTATTTTATCTCAAAAATGAGACATGTTTCCGTGGTAAAAAGTATCCTTTATGTTGAGCCGGATAACCAGCTATCAATATACTAAATTTCATCAAAATCCCTCCAGTGGTTTTTCTGTGATGTGGTAACAGACAGACAGACAAAAATTCTAAAAACTATAGATTCGGCCTATGTATCAATAATAATGTTTATTTAAATAAGATTTCCCAAAAAATATTTAATGTACAGATTCGGCTTAGTTACAATTTTATTATATGTATAGATAATAAAAAACTATAAACAATAAAAACCACTTACCATTTTCATATTTATGTCGTACAAGACATTTGTACATTAATAATGAATCTGGTACTTCTTCTGGGCAGAAATTTTTTTGGTCTGTATTACATGCAGCAAATACAAGTTTATCAATCTGTAAAGTAGTGTATTTCATTTCTTTTAAGGCAGTAATTTCAGATTGACATTTGGGATGTAATGTATCCATAAGATTTTGGAGACATTTAAGTGTAAACGTTTGTGAAAGGGTTTTTGGATCAGATGGTACCCTGCCACAACTATGTGCTTCAATATCATCAAAACAGTTCTTTAAGAAATTTCCAGTTATTTGCCAATCATTGAAGAGTATTGATTCTAATCGAGTTATTGCTCTTTGACATGATTTATTTTTCAAAATTGTTTTTCTTTTAAGAATACAATCCAAGGAATTTGAGTTAGAGCCTAGACAATATGTAAGAATAGTTTCATCTTGACATGGCTCTTTTATTTTGTCTTCAATAAAGTTATTATCAAGTAAGTTGATTTGATGTGTCCAGAGTTTATGTTGACATACAATAGGAATTTGAGTTTTATTATTATGTGTTATGTTCAGAGCACAAGACAAAAGATCAAAATCATTGTCTAACTGTAAACATTGCCTTTCAAATACAGCGCATCCTTTTAAATCGTCTTTAGCTGATTTCGCCTCATATATTCCTTGAAATCCATCTGCGTTGTTTGCAATAAAATTGATGAAACAGCAAATCACTAGTAAAATTGTAGTGTTGTTATACATTTTAATGCACCGGTTCTTTGATAATTAATAACAGATTAGCTATCATTGAAACATTATTGTTGTCTACACCACATAAAATATGATAAGATTTATAGCAAAATTGTATCATATCCTCAAATACTAGTTTATTTGAGAACTATCATATTCAGAGTATTTCTTGTTCAAAAAAAATACAAATATTAATATGACCACTGTCACAAGCTCGTACTAAAGTTGACATTTGATAACTTATTTTTCATCCATGTTAACAACAACAATAAAGTTGTGTTCTGGACTGTTTCTAGATAATAGAAACAAACATAGATATCGTAAAAATTCTCTAACGTCTAAAAATGGAGAAGAATTTTGCCTTTTTCTCCGTCCAGATGTCGCGATCACAATGGCCCTCTGTACATTGTACAGCGTGGATGATATTTTTTTTCATTTTATTTCAAATTTAATGTAATTAAAATGACAAATTGTGCAGTGCGAGGATGCAAAAAAAATCATTTGTTCCCAAAAGACAAAAACTGAAGAAATTGTGGGCTAAAGCAATAAGACGACCAAACTGGGAAACAATTTTGTTTTTTGCTCCAGCCCGATGTCGCGATCACTATTAAAGTCCTCAGTATATTGTAAAGCTCTATAGCGTGGAAGGATTTTTTTTTATTTTATTTAAAATTTAATTAATATGACAATTTGTGTAGTGCCAGGATGCAAAGAAATTGTTCCCAAATATCATTTGTTCCCCAAAGAGACAAACTAAAAAAATTGTAGACTAAAGCAATAAGACGACCAAAATTGGTGAAATCACAATCTTTACATTTAATGCTATGTGGACATCATTTTAAAGAAAATGATTTTTAAACTTATACGTCTTTAGATGAATTTTTTTTTTATTTTTTGTACTTTTTTACATATTAATTACAGAGTTTCATACAAACTTTTATCTCCCATTTTACCTCCTTAAGAGATAGAATTTCGAAAAATGTTAAAACACGTATGTATTTATTTAGTTGGTTTGAAGAGCATTTAACTTTCAAGTTATTTTGTTCATAAATAATTCTATGCCCGTGTAAACTTTATAACCCCCTTTTACAACTTTAAGGGATGAATTTCGAAATATTCTTTCTTTACAGATCCCTACATCAGATAAGGAATACGTCCTCCAAATTTCACGTTTCTACGACAAGCGGTTTAGGCTATGTATTGATCCATCAGTCAGTCAGGACCACTGTAGGATACATCTCTCTTTCTCAATTCTGCCTTCAGCTAACTTCCAGGTAGAATACATTGCACAGGTAAGTTGCGAACACAACAGAATCAAAAAACCAGGTATTAAAGTGATATCACAATAAATTGCTTAACCTCAGATTGAATGTAACTAGGCCCATACGTGTGGCGCCCTCCTTTCGAGAAATTTTCTCCATTGCAAAATGCAGAGGCTATTTATTGTTTTTTTGCCACAGATTAAAACTGCACTATATGCACCCTATTAAGTAATGTAATATTTAATAATATGAATTTTAAATGACACAATTTATTAATTCAACCATAATTATTTGTAGATATTTTGAAGACGATGGATAATTTCTGTTTGATTTATAGACGTCACTAATGTTTACTCTGTAATCTAGTCTGTAGTCTGCATGGATGACAAATAAAAGTAGTCTGTACCTATCAATATTTAATTTGGCTTTTTGTCAAATCAAGTTTATTTTGCCTTTGCTGTAGGCTCTTGCTAATTTCTAGTTATATTAATTAATCGTGAAACGTTTATATTTCATTTCCAAGTGAGGAATAATGGAAGGTTTTATAGAAGTAAACGAAATATCGGATTTTGTTTCATATATAAAGAGTGTAAGTATAAATTATAAAATATGTACGCGTGATGCGGCAAAATACGTATGTAATTTTGTTTTTTGAGTCGTATGTAAATAATTAATTCGTAATATTTAAACATCTAATATACTACAGGTTTATAGTTAACAATACAGCAGCCTAATCATTTTTGATAGAGCGTATCAGTAACTATTACAGTAAATCCAAAAAGTATAAATAAATTATGATTGTTTCTCTTCAAGGTTATATTAAAATCTTTCAGAATTTTATTGTGAATAAGTTTTTATTATCGTTTGGTTCATACATTTGTTTAAATTAAATAGTTAATAAAATTTAACATGAAATTAACAATTGATTAATACTATATAATAATATATTTATAAAGAAAATTACAAATATACTTAATTTATTTATTAATTTTTGGTAAACAAACAGTGACATAATTCTTAAAAATAATTAAAAACTAAAAAGTCCACACACTAGCAAAGTTTCCACCTATAAATATGTCACAGGTAGAGTAAACATAAATAATTTAAACATTTAAACTATATAATAAAATGTTAACAAAAGTTACTGAAAAAACACTACAAAGGACAACGATAAAAATGACTAAGTTAGAATTACAAAAAAATAAATATAAAACAAATTATAAAATGAAAAAAAAACACAAAAAGCAGCAAATTATATATACAAAACAAATGTACACTCAGTTATTACTGTACATGTCATGTCTGCGTGGAATAGTGGTAAGAATGAACATAACAAATCATGAATTTATAAATTAAATCAACAATACTCACTCAAAATAAGATACATGTAACATGACATTATTGCTATTACTTTACGATCAATACTAGTCAAATAGACTAAAAAGGCTGCTTATAAATAATTCTCTAATATACTATGTAAAATGTCATATGATATTTATTTAATTGTATAAATTATGTCTTTTAATATCTTTTACTGTACTGTATATAAATATATATGTAACAAACATTTCATTTTATTTCAGATTGAATGGAGAGACCCATGGCTTATAGCTCTTCTATCTTTTCATGTTCTTGTTACTTTTACTTGCCTGTCAACTAGGAATTATAGCAACTTCCAAATTTGTCTTTTCATAACACTATGTAAGTATTCTTGTACTTTTAGTAGTTATTATTTTTGTATTTTATGATAAATTTGATAATTTATTTTAAAATTGAAACAAAACACATTTTTAATATTGCCAATCTAAGAAATGTACACAAAAAAATAATAACAATTGTCTACAATATTAATATTTATTGTGAAAAAAAAACGATTTTTTTAATTTCGTTTTTACACCTATAGAGTATCACCACAACTATTTCTGGTCTAGTGGTGTCACCTCACTGAACCCTGCAGTTGTTATAAACTGCAGGATTACACTGCATAATTGTTTCCCTAGATGAACACTGTTGTTGTGATACTGGGTGTAGACGGTGAAATGGTGTTTATCTGCCTCTATACATCTTTAAATTTCAAATTTAAATTAAACACCAGTATGTACATCTGTGAGGCCAATCAGTCAACCACCGGCTTGCCTTAATGAGACTGTGTTTGAGTCTATTGGCTGTCTGAATTAATATAAATAGTTTGATTGGTCTAGTGCTTATACAGATTTGCTTCTGCACATTATAAAATGGCATATAACAAGCTGAAGACTTGGAATATTAACTTTGGTTGCTCTACATATATCGCGCAGCCTACCTTTAATCCTATTTTGGAACCATCTGTGTAGCAGCATCCATTCTTATAGGTCAACTGGCCTTTAGTCCAGTCCTCCCTTTTATTTCAACTGAGTATTGTTTTTCAAATAAGTACCGGATTAACATGCTATTACTTGTCATAACCAAGTAAAGGCATCTTTAATACTGAGTCCTGTAGAAGCTTCATTCTCAAGGAGAGTGAGTGAGTCCTACCCTAGATTTTTGGAATAAACAATATATTATTTACAAAAAACACATGCACTTTTTCTTTATCACATTCTTATTTCTAAAGGTTGTGCTCATCTATAAATATCATAATAGAGGTGTTTAAGAGATATTCTCATGGACACCTAATTCTGAGATGATAATAGTATCATTTCTCTCTGTCTTTCTCTCTGTCTTTCTCTCTCTCATTAAAATTTAAGTTAATAGTAACTTAAAACTTCACAAGAGCTTATTTGGTATTTAAATGACGACATTTTTCATTCCCATCTTGACTGAGATTTTCATTTTCTGTTATTTAGGTTGACTTGGTAATTGTTACAATAAGTTTTTTTTCTATAAACTACAATAATACCAAAAATGAAATGCAAAATGCTTATGTATTAACTTATTTAATTCACATGGTCTTGACCTTTGTAATCAAAACTTGACTTGGCACAATAATTAATTCTGTATGAAACCTGTTTTAAGAAATATTATTTTGTTGAAGTTATAAAGAATATTATAACCTTAAATATAAATGAATATAAACTGGGATTGTATATTTGTTTGTTTGTTTGTTTGTTTGTTTGTTTGTTTGTTTGTTTGTTTGTTTGTTTGAACACGAAATACTTTTTGCAATTTATAACCTACTAGCGACTCACCCTCCTTTCGCTCGGGTGCATGCAATTTCATGAGTTTAATTTTTTTTTCGCGGAACCCTAATCATTTTTCTTAAATAAAAGTAGCCTAAGTTACTCCTTATAACATCAGCTATCTGCTTATGAGATTCCCGTCTAAAACGGTCTAGCCGTTTCGAAGATTAGCCGAAACAAACAAATAGACAAAAAAAAATGAAATTGTTTTTTATTATAAAACCGTGTATACTAACACATCACCATCTAGTTCCATGGTAATACCTACATATATATCTTTTAAATACATACATATACTATAATTATAAACACCCATGACTAGAGTACAAACATTTGTGCTCATCACACAAATTAATGCCTCCAGTGGGACTTGAACCCGCGACTGCTGGCGCAGTAAGTAAGGTAACTGAGCGAAATATGTTGTCAAATTTAATAAATTTAAAACTGGTATATGAATACAGTCCTCTTTTATTGGTACACTTAATTGTATTCTGTGTATAGTACTTATGGAATCGTCAATGCGTAAGTTCTGCTCGCTCTTGACCGATTTTTTAAACTGAAGCAACGACGAACAAAGCAGTTTGTTGTTCAAATTCTCGCGTGACATTATCTAGGTTCGAACTCTTGTACGATTAATTTTGTTGTTGTTTACTTTTGCTTATATTTTTTAATTTTTTATTAATTTTTATATTAATTAAGACGATATAAACGTAGAAATAGATAAATATAATCTGGAATAGCACATAGGTTACTTTTTATCCCGGACAAATGTAAGGTTTCCGTGGGATATATTTGTTTTTGTTTTTCACGAAAGACAAACCCAAGCAAAACTAAGGTGAGTTGCTAGTTTTGTATAAATAAAATATACCAATATATGTATGTACGAGTATAACTCTACTTTATGTCTCAAACAACAAAACATAGGACTTTCATACTATCATTTCACCTCTTTCAAGTATTATTATCGCCAAAAAAAATTCTATTTCCTTCTCCAAGGCTCCACCTATCTTTATACCAAAGTTCAGTAACATCGCTTCAGCGACTTAGACGTGAAAACGTTACAGAAAGACAGAAATATTTTTACATTTATAATAATAGTATGTACCAGCACAATCCGCGGCTTCGCCCGCGTTCAATCTACAAAATAAACTCTTTAGCAAGCTTCATTACTTCTATTTTTTGCACATTTTTCTACTCCATCTTTTCAAAGTTAGATGAAAAGCATACAATAATACAACTCGCATACAATACAACCTTGGATTTATGTTACTCGGCTAATGTGGGCTTTTAAACGAACATACTAACAGGCATCTATCTACGTTATTTTTGAATGCCCAATGTTATGTACACCTGAAACTTACAGTCTCCTTTTTTCAAGTTAAATATACAAAGTGCTATTATTATTTTATTACAGCTTTCTGCCCGCGGCTTCGCTCGTGTGGAAAAAATGTTGCTCAGTTTTAATTTTCATTGAATTTTTATTCTCTCCCTCTCTCGCTCTCTAGGTCTGTTAAAGTTGTCACTGCTGTGGTCGGCCGAGAAGTTATACATAATTTTCCTTTGGATTCGAAATTTCGGTTCTATTTTATATCACACACAGTAAGTGTGCACTTTCTGAACACTTGAGCTATGTTACTTATGTTACTCTGTTTAAATATATTTCTTACGGGGATTTCAACCCGGGTGAGACTGAGTGGGAGTTTAAACGCAGCGTAAGCCGTTTTACCACCTTCTAAAAGTGTAGTAACAATTCCATATGAGACCACAGGTAATTCAATCCCCCGATTACTTCTTTAATTTGGCCAAGAGCAATTTTAAGTATTTAAATGTTTTGTTAATTAAACGTTAATAGCATTATTGCCAATGTTTAAGTCATACGATCAACGAACTTTACCACCCACTTTTTACCATCTTAGGGACTGAACTTTGAAATATCCTAAAATACGTGTTTGTTTATTTGTATAGAAGAGCATTAACACGAAGTCTTAAGTCATAAAAAAGTTCCCTTATAAACATTAGCACTCCCTTTTACCCCTTTTACCCCTTTTACCCCTACAAGATGAATTTCAAAAAAAGTCCAAACACATATATAGTGCATTTCACATAAAAAAATTATAGATGTTCATACAAATTTTCATCCTCCCTCATTTTACCTTATTCGATACATTTCGAAAAATGCTAAAACACGTATTTATTTTATTGTATTGAAGAACATTGATACCAAGTTTCAAGTAATTCTGATCATAAATAATTTTTTGCTCATATAAACTTTATCATTCCCTTTTACCCCTTTAAGCGATGAATTTCGAAAAATCCTTTTTATCGGATGCCTACGTCGTACAAATAACATACCCCCCAAGATTCAGATCTCTACGATCAGCGGTTTAGGCTGTGCGTTGATTCGTCAGTCAATCAGTCATTCAGGACAAAGCATTTAATATAGAGTCTATTTTAATAGAATATCAAAAATATAGTATAATGAAAGTAAAAATTGCAAGTAGAAATATAATCGCAAGGTAAATTGAATTGATGTCATTACAACCTTTACGAATAAGGTATGTGCCAGGCTAAAATAGTAAAACCTTGGCGCACCGTTTAACGTTTACTTTTGTATGTACTGGTGTTAATCTTATTTATTTTTTGTTATTCACTAATCACTAGCAACCTAAGATCTAGTTTGTATAAATTTGCCTGTTTTTTTATTGCTATCTGAATTAAAAGTGCCCTAGGTTCGTATACGTATCGTATAGGTTCGTATTTGTTCGTATACGGTATATTTATAATTTAAGTACCTAAATAAATTTTATGGCTTTAGTTAAGATCAATAAAACCTAAAGAAAAAAAAACAAACTAAAAATCTGTAAAATAAGATATTCACCATTAGTGATTTTTTTTTGCATTATCTAGTTTCATGGTAAGCTACGAGGAGGCTTGTGTTATGGATACCAGATAGTTGATAGACTACACATATATAACTAAATACATGCATATTATAATTATAAACACCCACGACTGGAGTACAAACATTCGTTCTCATCACGCAAATGAATGCCTCCAGCGGGATTCGAACCTGCGACCGCTGGCACATAAAGTAGGGTCACTACAAACTAAGTCAAACGTGTCGTCGATATGTATATGTATGTTATTTTACAAATGGACCATCACCAATTACTAATTAGTAAAGCAATCACCAACTACGGTTATTTTACAAATGAGTAGTACGTGATAGTCTATCATGCTCTTTAACTTGCAATAAAAGTAGAAAAGCGATCTATCCTTTCCCACCTCCTCGATTCTCGTATTATCGATAATTATAAAGATTTACGTGGTCAAATCAATCAATCAATACAAAAATTGATACCATTCTAAGAAGAGATTCAAATCCCCGATCATTGCCATACATACACAAAGTGTATTACAAAATTTAATAGTTTTATTTTTTTTACAGTATTACTTGTTTATTTCTCGGAGAGCATAAACGAAATTGCCGCAAGGAACTGGAATCTGTTTTCAAGACAACAGTACTTTGATAGCAAAGGCCTATTTATATCGGTGGTCTTCTGCATACCAATACTATTGAACTGCATGATAATGGTGGTAAGTACACATTAATAATTACCAAATCCAGTATGCTACATATTTTTTTCTTTTTCAGAATATATAAATTAATATAGTTGTAAAAAACCTAACTTAGTTTTAATTTATAACGCTTTAATAATATGAAATTAACTTTTCATATATTATTTATTCAAAACTAGCTTTTGTCCGTGATTTTCGTGCGTTAATAAATAACGCACGATAATATTCTTCGTGTTCACAGTTCAACCCACCCACCCATCAGTACCAGATGCAACGCTATCATGCTGCGAGTTACAGCAAAATATATACATACTAGCATTGCCCGCGGCTCCGCCCGCGTTCAGATGACCAAAAACTAAATTCTTAGGTGTTACATATTAGTATACTCTTACATTGCAGTTTTTGTATTTTTCCTCAGAAATAAGATATTTTCCCGCGGTAAAAAGTATCCTAGGATCGCGCGCTACATCGCCCGGTTTATATAGCTTGAGCAGGCGGTCGAGCGATGCGGGGCAGAGGGGATGGACTCGCCGTAGGCATCTCAATGCTCGCCAAGCATTAAAAATGTTTCGCTACTAATTACTTCTAACAACGATATCTCAAAAACTATTCATCTGATTGATTTAGTGTAAAGAGCAATTTTAATCTGCATTAAATGACTAAGCTAACTAAAATATTCATTTGGATAAGGATTAATACCGAACTAAAGAAAATAACTTTGAAAATAACGTAATGTTTTTAATTAAAAATGTTAACATAAAAGTGGTTATTGTAAGTCAACCGTAAGAGATAGAGATATGCTATCGCGGACTTTTTTGTAGCATTTTTATAGATTTTGAATTCTCTAGTACATTACTTAACTGTATCTTTGCTAGTTTACGCGGCGTTCGCGTGGAAAGTTCCCATTTGGCGAGATTTTTTGCGACCTCTTCAACATTTGTCGCCGTATTTCAGCTAATTTACATAAAAGCATAATAAATTATATACCTAAACCTTCCTCAAGAATTACTCTTTCTATTGTTGAAAACCGTATAAAAATCCGTTCAGTAGTTTTCGAGTTTATCGCGTACAGACAGACAGGAGGACAGACAGGAGGACAGAAAGACGCGGCCGGGGGACTTATTTTTATAATAAGTATAGATATGTAATAAAATTATAACTGTCGAATCTGTTGCCAAACTGTGTTGCAAAAACTGTGCCGAATCTGTACATTAAATATTTTTTGAAAAAAATTATTGATAAACGCATTATTATCGATACAGAGGCCAATACAATACAATTTTTAAATTTTTTGTCTGTTACCGATCACGGAAAACCACTGAAGGGATTGTGATGTGGTAGCTGGTTATCGGGTCAACATATCTATAGGATAGGTACTTTGTACTGCGGGAAAATATCTCATCTCTGAGAAATCTTTACTAAACTTTAAAACGTAAGTAGGGACGAATCCGAGCGGAGCGAGGGTGGGTCGCCAGTAGATAGCGTAAAAATCTAAAAATTGGTAATTATGCACAAAAAGTCTTAATTTTATTTGTAAAATACTTTTTACGTAATGTGTCGGGATGAAAATTAAATGTCTATAAGTTTTCTAAACATACATACACCATAATTTTCATGGCTTGTACCACAGAAAATTATTGGTGTGGTAATATTACTTAATGATACATTATCGTAGTCATAACAATGGTCCGATGATTATGCGTTATCTACGCATTCTTTGATTATAGTCCGTCCTAATTAATGAAGCAAGTTGAATGTATCGCAGTGTCGGGTTGTTTGTTGTACATGACACTATTAAAATAAATTCTATTTATTATAATCGTCCTATAATAATTATTTCAAAGTTATATTATTTTTAGTTTGTGCATGGTACAATGATCAAAATATTTTTTTTTAAATATTTCTACGTGACATTGGCGAAGTAAATAGTGCCCAAATGGCACTCCTAGCAACTAGGCACTGTACAAAAGAATTGCGTTAAATTTATTTTAATTTAATTTACTTATTTATTCGACCTTCAATGTACATAATTAATACCACATGCGGCATTCCACATTTTGTCAGATTTTCAATAGTAGATACCTAAATAAAAATGTAATACAAAAAAGTAACTAACATGTTATTTTTTCATCTTTTTAAAAAATTGTAATAATGACTATACTCGTCAATTCTTGAATGTTTTCAAAGACGATCACGCGAAAGAAAAACAAAAATATATATAAATTAATTATTTTAAAAGTATAAGTATTCACCTCAAAATAATAACTGATTTTTTTATTTTCAAAAATTTTGCTTTTTTATAAGCTAAACATTCTACCGCCAAGCTAAAAAAAATATATTTTTTTGGCTCGCCCTGATTTTCATATTTCGAGTATCAAAGTCGAAAATAAAAGTCTCATACAAAGCATTTATAAAATTTCTTTATATTTATGAATCAAACCTAGAAAAATAATAAATTAAGCGTTTTATAATTACTCAATTCAACTTTCGGGCATTTTAAGGTTATATGTGTTATTGCTATTTTTATCTTCACAAATATTATTTTTAATTAACCTACTCATATAGTAGTTTAAAATGTAAACATATCTATACGATATAATGCATAATATGCAATATAAATAAAATGTCTTGTGGATATGCGAGAAACATAAAAAAACGTTTTATTTATTTGCATTTAGTAGTTTATCAAACTAATATCATACCCAATAGGATTGGACTTATTGTGTATGACCAAATTTTTTTATAGAGTTTATTAAAATAAATAAATATGTTGGGATATTAACACACAGTACCATCTAGTTCCATGGTAAGCTACGAGGTCTGTGTTATGGATACCAGATAGTTGATATACTACATATATGTATATAATTTTAAATACATACATATTATAAATGTAAACACCTGTTACTGGAGTACAAACATTCGTGCTCATCATACAAGTGAATGCCCCCAGCGGGACTCGAATCCGCGACCGCTGGCACAGTGGGGGCTCTACAAACAGCCAAACGTGTCGTCGAAAAAAATTTAAGTAAAAAGTTAGCACAAGATCTTTGTCTACGATATATTTTAGTAAAAACGTTTAGAAATAAGACGGGATAAAAACACGTCGCAATTCTACAAAAGTATAACGTTATATTTAATATTCGTTTAAAGTATGTAGGTACTAACTATAAAAATATGTATTGAATAATGTATATTTCTATGTTTTCCTCGTAATGATATTTTTGTTTTTTTTTCTGTATTAATATTATAAAGAAGTAAAGTTTGTGAGTTTCTGAGGTTGTAGGGGTAATCTCTAGATCTGCTGAATCGATTTACTTGAAATTTGGTAAGAAGATAGTTTGAGACCCTGGAAAGGATTCATAGATACTGTTTATCCCAAAAATCATCCCTGAAGGGGGTGAAAATGGGAACTAAAGTTTGTATTGGGAATCAAGCAAGGGACGAATCCGAGCGAAGCGAGTGTGAGTCGCTAGTAATATATACAATACGAACGGTATTGTTTGTTTTGATTAAATTGAAACGTTAATTACATCCTTCTTCCAGGGGTCATGGCTGTATCAATCAACACAATTAATGACAAATATTAAAAAAGCACAACTTCGACAGCGCTACAAAGAAATGAACAAGCACAAAGATCTGCAACTACGCGCGAAGGCAGAATAAATCATTTTGCTTTAGAACTTTGAAGAGGTAATATGTTTTAAAAATGAAACCCTATTTGTTTTTGATTTTTAATGTAATAAGCAAAATAATAACGTCTGACCATTATTGTGTCTAGCTTTAATACAAATGCTTAAGAACATAACGAATCGAATATTCTATTGCTATTGATTTTTAAAGCTGCCTTGAACTTACACTGTAGAACTGTTGTACATAAATTAATACATACATACATATAATATGTACAATGTACATATATAGAATTCACTCACTGGTCATGTGATCCTTTTAGCCGGATTTTACTGTTCATGTATTGATTTCGAATAAATAAATAGGATTACGCCAGTAATCTTTATAATACTATCATTATACGTGGTTGGTTAAATTTTTTATATAATTTTGTTTAGTCCTTTATCTCTTGATCTTGCCTTTTCTATAACTACTGACTATAATTATGGCTTATTTGCTTAATATGCGACATGTGAAATCCGCCATATTGTCAATTATTGTAAACGGTCATAATAATATGTGCAATATTTATATATTATATAATAATAAGTATAATTTGTAGGTATGTATCGTTAGCACAGTTAAAATGTTAATCTTCAAAATAAAAATGAATATTTTAACATTTTTCTAGAACAACATATATTATGAGCTATCAAAAGAATGCTAATGAGGTTTTTGAGTATGTAAGATAATAATTGAGTTCAGTTCTCAGACAAACATGTACAAAACTAAAAAAAAGCAACTGAATTAATGCATATGTATTGGACACAGGCGATGGTAGCCCGTGGTAATTTGTAACGCGCTCGCTTGGGAAATCAAGTGAAGCGGGTTCAAATCCCGGGTCTCGTACCTCATATATTCTCATGTGCGAATCGTTTTTAACATGATTACCATTTGTCTTACAATAAAGGAAAGCTTGAAGAAACCTGATTATCTAAGAGAACTTAGCAAGTTTTCAAAAGGTCAATGTGCGCTAACCTACACTTGACCAACGTGGCTACTAGCGATTTATTCTCGATACACTCAGGTGCGTCCCTGGGTGCTTTTCGTATTAATGACTTCATCTTTTGCTTAATTTAAAAAAAAAAGGTAATTTTAGGTCATAACTCATAGGGTATGACCTAAAATTACATTTTCTTTTAAATTAAGCAAAGGATAGGCTTAGATCCATCTGAGTACTAGATTACAGTCTACAATCAAATACCGAAAACGAAACGAAACAAGTAACGGAACCTTAACGAATTAATAACATTAGTTCTACTCATTATATCTCATACTCATTCAATAACATACACACACATACAAACTTTGGCATTTATAATCGTTGTGTAATTTTAAAAGATATAAGGAAATAGATCATGATTCTATCTATCCCCTTCGCATCAAACGAGGCCCTTGCCTACCAGTGGAGCGTAAAACTGAACCCACTGATTTGATTACACATTTACTAAAAAGGTCTTTTTGACAATTTTTTTTACTCGGTTATATTTAAATTCTTTAAAATGTAACATAATAATATACGTACATATATTTGGCTCTGGAATCTGTTGAATTACATATTATTTAAGACGTCACATTCTGAAAATCATTGGTGTATAAATAAAGATTAAACGACTGTTTTTTTTGCTTAGCAGTTTAGTTTACGTAATAATTGAAATATAATAAAATGCCTAAAATTTAGTAAATTTCGCTTTATATGTTTTGAAAATTTTCATCTATAGCATTTGACCAGTCATAGATCGCTGATCTACTTATCATATAAAAGTCTGGGATTTTTCCCATTTTCTTTTTGTTTGGAGGATTTATTTAACGTTGAGTTATGATTTGTAAGGTCCTTAAAACGTCTTCTTTTTCCACTCTAAATATCATTTAATTCATATATAAGTTGAGCTATACAAAAATAAGTTTTATTGTTTTTTTTTTCATTCTTGCTTCTTACATGTAATGCGATACGGTCGATGAGTCCAAATGTAAATCTAAATGAACAAAGCATTCGTATATTATTATGTAAGTTACTTGGCCTTTACGAAATAATAATATGTTTACAAAAACGATATTCTTTTAAAACAAAGAGTTAATGTTTTGGGTGTAATTTTCATATTTTCCCCCTTTTTTTATTAAATTTTAACATTATAAAGATTTCTATGGATTTGACACTTTTATTGCTTATAGAATTTTCCATGTTTATTTGCATATTGATAATTCTAATTTTTTTTTTATAATTACATAATATAAAGTCTTCATGAATAGTTTATATATCTGTGATCGGTCGATGATACCTAAAAATACTATACACCTTGTCCGGGAACTGAATTATCTATTTTTTAACAAAAGCACCCATCAGTCCTCTAAAATGGGATTTGTTAATATTCTTTACATTTTAGTTCTGACCTGCCTTTAGTTTCTCTTTTAGGTTTAAATGTTATGCTAAATTGGTAGCTCTAACCAAACTAAATCCATCCTCTCATCTCATCATCTTACCTCTTTGGAGCTCTCGTTTTTAGGAATCACAATTAATTTATGATACCTCTGACTAACGTGCCTAATGCGAGTTTTTCTTCATTTATTCGATAGCATTGACGCCAATTCAATTTGTATATAGCAGCACCGCGCCATTTACTGACAAAACTAACTTAAATAAGCTAATCCATATGCAATTTGTTCATTATTTTCCATGATGTTAAGGGAGAATTAAAAAAAAACTTATTAACAATACTCTTAAAATATTACATATGAATGAAGAAAATATATATAGCTATTGTTAAAGAGAACGCTTGTCGTAAGGCTTTTAAGACATTTACTCTATGTGCTATCATGGCCACGACGCGACGTGTCGTGTATCCATAGTCTCGCTAACTCGATGGAACTTGGGCACGTTTATTTAATCATATTATAAAGGCCGATTAAAATGTGCTAAACTTTCCCTTAAGCACATCGAAATCCTGACTGTTAAGGTTCACACTAACTTTAACAATCTGTTAAAATACTTATCGCGACATAGAATAACGCGATGATGAAGTCATTTGGCGTAAAACTTGTAAGCTCGAATCTCAAAAGCCTTTACTGAAAATTACAAGTGGTAGACAGAGATAGGCAAACAAGCATATAAAAATAAGTATTGAATATTTTAAATTATTAAGTTTCTTATATATTTCTTTTGGCCTAAATATTTTATGTTATTATATAATATAATAATAATTTTGTTTGGTTTAAGTTGAATTTGACAAAATCTCTCACAATTTAGTGAAGTTGGATAAAAAGTACTAGATTCAATTAAGGAAACGAATAAATACAATCAGAAAATCCCGTATTAACATTGTGCATTGAGACAACGTTCATTAAATTGTGTATTCATAAAAATTATATTCAGTTATCGATCAAAAAAGTAGTAGTCAGTAAATACACAATTCCATGCAAAAGTTCTCTTAAAACTGTCACCAATTGTGTTTAGGTATTTATTCTAGTAGAAAAAAAACGTGTATGTGTACTTATGTACGCACGTAAGAAGTTATACTTATTTGGCGTTACAGAACAAAAATAGCTAAAGATTTCATCCCGTATGTCACAACTCTCTGTTCCTAACGGGAATGCAGCTAACTTCATCATGTCGATTTTTGGTTGTCAGTATGCGCGCGCATCGTAAAGATGTTACTCACATATTTTTTTCCAAACGTGCCAAAAGAAGTATAACTTCAACAAATATAAAACAATGTAAATTGAACCTTAAATGCAATGCTTAAAGTTGTCTTTACGATTATCTTTTTAAATTAAAACCGCGCTCAAATGTTCAAATGACCGCGCATTCGGTCAGGACATTTTTTGTCGCTGATTGTGTATCTAGTACTTTTTTGATCGATGTTTTCAGTATACCTATTAGGTAGGTTAGATTTCATCTTTTTATGTATACGATCATATAGTGAAGTTGCTTTTTTTTCTTCAGAGCCTCGTACTTAAGATATTTGAAATATATATTTTACGTCTTTGACTAAATTTCAAGAAATGAACTTGTTATTTTAAGATTTTTATTTTTTATAAGATAATTAATAAATACGCATGTGTGAAATGTACAAGGGCCGTTACACACGTAAAGCATGGATAAGAATTTAGTCAAATGGTATGATATGGTCAAAGAAATAACAGTGTGCTAAAGAAATGTCTTGTTAGTCTAATAGCATGTACGGCTGCAGATTTGGAGGTTCTTGGTTCGATTCCCGGGTCGGGTCAAGTATAGTTATTGGGCGACAAAAAGAATCATACCAAATACTTTAAATGTGTAACTTTCTTTATACTGTTTTTAGTCGAAATTGGTGATATTTTACTAATCAAAATATATTTTGGAATGTTGAATATTGTTTTAATTTTTCGGCACTTTTAATTTCATAAGTAAATAATTACATTCACAACATCGATCAAAAAAGTACTATATGCATAATCCTATGTAAAAGTCCTCTTAAGACAGTCACCAATTGTGTTTAGGTAATAATTCTACTTGAAATAAATATACAACAATGTAAATTCAACCTTAAATACAATACTTAAAGTTGTTTTCACAAAAACAAAGCGCGCCCAAATGTTCAAATATTCGGTAAATTTTTTGTCGCTGATTGTGTACCTAGTGCTTTTTTGATCGATGATTCACAAATAAAATAAAATCTGTGAATCGAAACATGAAAATTATTATATGAACAGCACAAGATCCTCATGTTTTTTTTTCGAATTTAACAAATTAAATTTTTGTGCCATATTTTTTTTTATTTTTATGTATCGATGTCAAAGATTTAATAAGTTAAATTTCTAAATAAGTATCCGTAATAAAATTTAATTTAAAAAAAAATATTTTATCTGTGTTTGTTATGAATTTTTAGTGTCACATAATATTTAAGAGTAAGAATATACATATATTTAACTAACCATTTAACTCTATATGGAAGTATCGTATAGATGTATTTATTTTATTTTATTGTATTTAAATTTAAAAATAATTGTGTTTTAATTAAAATAATGATTGTGTTTTAATTGTTATTATTAAGGCGACTTGTAAATACACGTTTTAAATTGTATTCCCTACGCGTGTATTGAAAATACAACATTTTTAATTGAACAGAAGCAAGAATTATCACGTTTTATACGTATAAGTTCGTAATTACCAGCAAATTTATTCCACAACACATGCATTTAAGTGTCTAATTTATTTGTAAACAATGTATTATTTCTGTATGTGACTGTACTTTAACAATCTAAGGTAATATGTATTAAATAAATAATAATACTAAGTGTAATTTTCACGTCTGCTTAGTATTTAGAATGCTAGAAATTTCACCGAAATACAATGAATGTTAGACATTAGTGTAGACAATGTAAAGTGACCTTTTGTTCCTATTTCTGAATGCATGCGTAATTAAAAATATATTTGTATTAAAATGTTGGTAAATTCTGTAATATTAAAAAAAATCGCCCGTAAATGATCTTTTCGACAAAATATAGCGAAAGGGTTCTCGTAATACGTAATTTTTAACACGCTTTTATTAGCTTCACCAAATCAAATGTTTGAACGTGATTTTTACCCAAAAACTTCAGATTGAACTGAAACTTAGCACATTTGATAAGAGCCGATGACAATACAAATGTTATATATTAAAAAAATATTAATTTTAAAAACTAAAAAAACGCGCTTATAGCAGTTCAAACTAAAAAATGAAAATAAATTATAGTATAAAAAACTAAAAAAACACGCTTTAATTAAGAACCGAACTAAAAAGTAAAAAGAATTATTTTAGTACAAGAATATAGTGATTAACGAGAAAAATAATTTTATTGTCAAAAAAGCGTGGGGTGCGATATCAGTTGTTATCAACATTCCTTTGGTACGATTTCTCAAAGTAGAGTTAGTATAAAAATATTCTATAAAGCACCCCACGCTTTTTTCACAATAACATTAATTTTCTCGTTAGTCACTTTATTCTTATACTAAAAATTATTTTTTACTTTTTAGTTCAGTTCATCATTAAAGCCTGTTTTTTAGTTTTTTTTAATTATGATTTATTATGGGAACCTATTTGAGCAGTGGTGTAGCTAAGTGGGAATAGTCTACTCCGGGTGAAATATTGGGGGTTAAACCCGTACCGGTGTCATCAGAGTGACATCTGTTTGGGGTTGATTTTTATTATGCATGCATAACAAAAGTGTTGCTTGCGAAAAAAAATGATCAAAAAACGAAGGAGGTTTTCCTTTTTTTTTAAGAGCGATAACCGTCCCGGATATCTCACGTGCTACGCCACGTGTCTTATCTTACTATCTGTCTTACCGCGTAATAGAATCGCTCTCATGCAATTAGTTCTGCACCTTAAATGAGATGATTTCGCACGATGTAATATTTAAGATGAGTACAATTATTTCAAGTAAAGTAAGGTCACTTTACCATTGTTGTTATCGTATAAATATAAATAAATTTGCATGTCTTTATGGACATGATATAAAACGTCCATTCTTCAATACAAAGTGAACGAGACTGATCGTGAATATTGTGACACAACAATATTAGTAAATCTCGATTAGATATATAACTTAGTCTGTATTTAAACAAACTTTTCAACTAGTTGTTTAATTATGAGTTTCTGTGGTCGCTTCTCGGCTCGAACATCACATCGGTTCTTTGGTGCCATATAATAATACTGGTACCATATTCAAAATTACAGATGAAGCGGATACCAGTTTGAATTGAATATTATTACCAAATTGTAACCCGAAAGATACAAAACGTACCAAGCTAAATAAAAGCTAATAGAATAGGTAAAAATAGGATAGTAGTGAGCACCTAGGTATTTAATCCATCTTTATGAAGCCGGCTTTGAAGCTAGGCAAATGACTCAATATGGTTATGCTTTAATTTGTTTTTACAATTATAAATGAAAACTCATCCTCTAGACGACACGTTTGGCTCAGTTTGTAGTGACCCTACTTGCTGAGCCAACGGTAGCGGGTTCGGATCTCGCTGGAGGCATTCATTTGTGTGATGAACACGAAAGTTTGTACTCCAGTCATGGGTTTTTATATTTATCATATGTATGTTTTTAAAATTATATATGTGTAGTGTATCAACTATCTGGTATCCATAACACAAGCCTCGTAGCCTACCATGGAACTAGTAGGCTGTGTATTAATATCCCACGATATATATCAATTGAGATTTACTCTTAATTGTAAATAAACGAAAGATTATATAATCTGTGTCTTTAAAAAATATCTATCACAGATCAATGGTCCTAAAATAATAGAAAATTGAAATAATTTCATTAGATTCCTCTGACTTAAACTACTTGAAATGTAGATTTTGTAGTCAACTGTTTTTACAATAGGGAATATGCGTGTGATTTGAATAAAGATGTTTTTTTTATTAAGAAAATAATTATTTAAAAGTGCACAAAAAGGAGGGAAATTCTAAGAAGTAGCAACGCCATTGGTCAGACCGAATGTGACGTCAAAGTCTATTATAATAGAGCGCTTTTGTTTGGTGTTCGCGATTGTTACTAACATTCTAGACCTATTCATTTCTTGAATGTAATGTTGTCATAGACTATGACGTCACGTCAAGCGCGCCATATTGGTGGGTGTTTAAAGTATCGTCTGTATGATATATAAAAAAAAATATTACACTAAATTTTAGTTTTTTGGAGCTGGATATTTGTTTCTAATTATATAACAATATAAGCTATTGTATAAAAAAAAATCACGCATATTCCCTATTAAGACTAGTATGGTAAAATGACACTTCCTATACAACGAAGTATGGATTGTTGTTTGTATGGAACTAGAAGTTTCTGAAACGAATGACGCCTTTATTATTATTTATTTGTGATTTATATTAATATAGTTAAGTTTTATTTTCTCAATTTCATTAATATTTTAATGTCATTTCGTCTATTGAATTTTAATATATCAAATGTTTCTATATGTATATGTACATAGTACTCCTTTATTAACATCACATTTGTTATCAAATATGTAAAAAAGACGTATGTAACTTTGAGTTGACTCATTTTAGTGTTAAAAATTAAATAACTAAGTGTAAGAAAACAAATTGTGTACAAGTAAAAAAGTAGGGAGGCACCTATTTATCGAACTTAGGATCCTGAAATAAGTATAAAATAGTTACGTCCTTCCTTTTCTCGTGTCGCAAAGTATTTTCATCATCACAGATTAAAAATATATTTGGAACCAAATCCATATTCTCCATTATTTTTCTTGATAGAGTACAAAAATTGTGATATTTTTTTTGCCCGAAGTCAGTAAAAATTAATAGTTTTCTTACACTTAGTGTATACTGCCTAATTGGTTAAGAATGTTTTAATGTATGAATGAACGCTTAATAAAAAGTATGTTACACATTTTTGTTTTACTTATCCTAGCAATGCTTTTGAAATTATTAGATTTTTTTTCTTAACTCCGAGGTAGAATTTTGTAGTTTATAAAAAACAAAATTTTGAAAAATAAAATGTTTACTCAACTTTTTGAGGTAGCTGATTTCACTGGTTTCTAAATAAATAATTAATTTAAAATATTTGGTTTGAATGGATTTTTTTTAATATATTGTAATATTGCATAGTAATAAAAAAGTTGAAAAAATATTTTTTTAAATTATATTTACAATGAAAGTTGAAAAGTGAGAAAGTGAGAGTTATTAATGCAAGGGCACATGCAGTACCACTAGTTTATGCTATTTTAAAAACATTTATTTTCCTAAAAACTTCAATGGATGGCGCTGCCAAGAACCCTGAAATTACAATTTTCAGGATATTTTACATGTAATTTTTACAAATACGTTATCTTTATACAAACAAAAGAAAAAAGTTGTATTTAAAAAATATTTAATAAAAAATATCAAATCAAGTATTTAATAACCATTCGCCTTAATCTTTTCCTTAACTTCTTTAATCATAAGCGTTACTAAATCGTCCAATTCTACTTCTGGTTTCCAATTCCAGTCCCTTCTTGCTTCACTGTCGTCGAACACTTGTGGCCAGGAATCGGCTGCAATTAAATTAATATGAAATATATAATCTGTTAATAATCGCTCTTATTAGATTTCAATGTAATTCTTACCGTAAATTTGGTTTTGTTTAAATTCAAACTGTCGCGTCAATGTGAGTCCAAAAGATAGGTAAATGGAACTATTTGATCTACACTATAATTAGAAAGATTTGTATTTTTATATGTTTGTTACGAATAAACTCAAAAATTACTGGACCGATTTAGATGAAATTTGGTAAGAAGATAGTTTGAGACCCTGGGAAGGAAATAGGCTTTCATGATTTTTTTTATTCCGGAAATCATCCCTTAAGGGGTGAAAATGGTGAAGAAAGTTTGCATGGGGAATCAACCTAGAGACGAATTCGAGCGAAGCGACAATAAGGCAATACAACTTTAGAGTTTTGGGTCAATAGATTCATTTTGCTCTATATTTTTTCTTGTAACGTCAAGTAACATCATAGTATTTTCATGGTAGCATTGTGCGGGTGACACACAAATACCTAATAATGATTTCGGAAACTTTTGTTATGTAGTTTTCTATCACTACTCACGTGAAAATTAAGCTACGAGAGTTTGTACGTGTGTGTGTTACTCCTTTACGTGGGAACGGCTGGGCGGATTTGGATGATGTCCTGATATAGGATACTGTTTGACAATCAAACAAACACCTGGGCGAAGCGATGATAAATCGCTAATACTATACAACGTCGAAAAATCGAGAATAAAAAATCTGTTATTAGCAACAATTCCTCTTTAGACTTTGATGTAAAAAAGATAAATTATGTATGAAATTAAAAAAATCTCAAATAAAAACGTATCAAGTAAAATTTACCTATTTCTTGTCGACTATCCGGTTTGTAAGTAATTGAAAAATCAGGTATATGCTTAAACATTTGATCAGCAAGCTCTTCAGGAGTAAAACTCATAGATGTGACATTGTATACTCTTCTTCGTAACATTTCATTTGGAGTTTCCAAAAAGTTTGAAAGAGCACGCAATGCGTCACGTACGTGCATCATTGGTAGCCTCGTGTCAGGTTTTAAGTAGCATTCGTAGTGGCCTTTTCTTAGAACTTCATGGAAAATTGCTATCGCATAGTCTGAAAGTTTAATTGTAATTATTATTTTGTTATGAGTCGTAAAATTATTTATATATAACTAACGACTCACCCTAGCTTTGCTCGGGTTCATCCCTAGGTACGTTTTAACGGTTAGTATGGAATAGATAGTCTGTATATATGTATATAGATATGATGTTGTTGTGGTTTGTAATAAAACGTGTTTTCCCGTGGGAATGAGATCTCTCGCGACAAGTTATTCTCCTGCCCTCCAACTCTCCACACTTTATTATTATTGCCACCCTCCGTTACTCCGTTTCGACGTGAAAGAAGGACAAACAAACAAAGTCAAACTGTATATCGTAGAAAAAGAAAGTATCAACTCTACAAATGCAATCAAGTATCTACCCTATATTAATCCCTACCCCCTACCCTATATTACGTTTTTCCTGTGAATTATTCCAATTTTTCTCTTCATAAGAACTCTCCTTAAACTTCAACGAATATTAAAAAAAAAGAGCCGAGTTGATCCAAAAGTTCTCGAGTTTTATGCTTAGCAACACATTTAGCTATTCATTTTTATTTATAAGACAATATGTATCTAGAAGATAATCTGCACTATCTTTAACAGAGGCTATAAGTAAGCGTATCAACAATGATTTTAAGAGTTTAGACCCATTCCCATTTCCCTCCTGCATAAGCAATAACAAAATCCTCAACCTCTACCACAAAAATATAAAACTTAAAAAACCAATTTATCTTTATAATTGGAGTATCCTACTAATATTATAAATGCGAAAGTTTGTGATGTGTTTGAGGATGTATGGATGTATGTTTGTTTTTTCCTCTTTCATGTAAAACCTATTGAATGGATTTTAATGAACCTTTATAGTAATATAGCTCATACATTAGAATAACACATAGTCTACTTTTTATTTCGGAAAATTGTACGGTTCCCGTGGGATAGATTTTTTTTGTTTTTCAAGAGGAGAACTCGAGCGAAGCGGCGATGAGCCGGTAGTTCATAAATAAAATCGGAAAATATATAAATCGTGGGCTATTTTTATTACTATATGCAAATTAGTGTCTCTGACTCCATAATACTATTTTCCTACGTCTTGTTTTTATTTTTTGAGTTCACATTTTACGCAATCGGGTTTTTTGTTTTGTATATGAAATCTTTCAACGTACGATTATGCGAACGGTGCTGCAGGTCAAAAATGTTAAAGGAGTTAAACAGGTTATACCGATTTAGCTCCATTTTTTGTTTTAGCTTCAGTAGACACAGAGCAAAAGACAAATAATTTGCTACAAAATTGGTACGGTAATCGATTCCGTTACTTTCTCAACAATAGGCATAGGGTATGCTAGCGGTATAAAATATTAACACGAAACGGTCATAATAATAATAATAATACTCTTTATTGTACACCAAAGAGAAAAATACGTACAGACAGTTATTAAAAATTAACAAAGATGCACAGTAGGCGGCCTTATCGCTTAAAGCGATCTCTTCCAGGCAACCAACTACCAGGTAAAGGAGAGTGTGAGAGAAATGGTAGGCGGTGTACTTGCTATACGATATAATTATACATACAATATAAATAGATAAACATAATACACATACACATACAAACGTACATACATACATATATACATACATACTTAAACACACAATACAAATATATAAACGTACAATACACATACATACTAATTTATATACATACGTACCTACAAATATATATAGTTATAGATACAATTAAATATAAAAAAAGCACTAAAGGGACAGGTAATATTCTTTTAATAACAGCTTAAATTTATCAAGGCTTTTGGCACTTTTAACTTTTAAAGGAAGTGTGTTCCAGAGCCGGGCAGCTTTTACAGTAAAAGAGTTAGAGTAGAAACATGAAGAATGTGGAGGAATTTTGAGAACTAGGTTGTGCTCCGAGCGAAGAGAACGGCTATGACAGTTACTTAAAAATTCAAAACGCTCTTTTAAATAAAAATCATCATCATCATCATTTTTTTAATATGGTTTTTATGATTATGCTCTATAATGTATATTTTTGCAAAATCTCATCATTAAAATTAATACAAATATCATTTAAATTTACGTGTCTTTTATATAGCAATTTGAATGTCAAATAAAGATATCGAATGTTCATCTTAATGTTACTAAAAACCCGTGTGACCTTGTAAATAAATATTTCGATCTAACACACCTACACCGGCTGAAACGGCTAACATTATAAAGGTGCCCCACACTTGAAGAAGTGGTATTTGTTTTGCGTCACTAAACCGGTTCGAAAGCCATCTTTTATAAAGCCCATTTCATAACGAATGGTTTGACGTTATACGTTTTATTTTCTTTTTGTAAAGTTTAAGTTTAAATTTATAATTCTGAAAATTAAATTTCTTGCACCATTAATCCCCTTAGTATCTCAATATTTAAACAGGAACAGTTAATCAATTAATTTTATATTTTCCAATAAAAGAATATATTAATTTTTCATTCAGTTTACAAGTGTAGGTAAATTAATAATTATTAGTTGTATTGTTTTTGTAATTATAGAAAAAAATACCTGTAGTGCCTCCACCTGGTGGATCGCTGGAAATTACTCCTGGGAACCTCAGGCAACGGAAGTCCAGTCCAAACTTATGGTAATAATATTCTCCTAACAACTCCGCATGCACTTTAGATACACCATAAATAGTCCTAGGTCTTTGCACTGTGACATTAGGAGTTGGATTTCTAGGTGAGTCCGGTCCAAATGCCCCGATGGTACTTGGTACGAAAACTCGAAGCTTGTACTGCTTCGCGAGTTCTATTACGTTATGCATACCTTCTATATTCACTCTGACAGCTAAAGATACATTTTGTTCACCAATAGCACTAAGTAGAGCCGAAAAATGTATCAGCCAGTCAACTCTATGATCCACGACAATTTTCTGGAGACCTTTGAAGTCCAAAATATCAATGAAAATATATGGTCCATCTTTAATAACTTCTGTTGTTGGTTTGATAATGTCAGATAATATAACGTTTTCTCGTCCATATTTTCCTCGTAAATACTTTGCACATTCCACTCCAAGTTGACCTAGGCCACCTGAAAATTGTAAATCACTTAGTATTTGTCATAAGAGCTCATCCATACTAATATTATACACTAGCGTCTCATCCTCGCTTCCCCTAGCTTGATTCCCCATACAAACTTTCATCCCAATTTTCATACCCTTAAGGGATGATTTCCGGGATAAAACTATCTTATGTCCTTTCCAGGGTCTCAAACTATCTTTTTACCAAATTACCCCTACAACGTCACAAACTCACAATCTCACAAACTTTACCTCTTTATAATATTAGTATAGTTAAATGTCAGAGTAACCTTTGGTCTTGTAATCTTGTATCCTGTTCAAGTTTAAACCGCTGATTAAATTATAGTAAGCTTTCTCTAAGGAATTTGCTATCTTCCAAATATTTATTAATTTTAAAATTCCGATAATTTATTAATAGGTAATAGTTATTTATTAAAAGTATTACTCGTAGTATTAAGTAGCAATACTTAGTATTTAAATCTTAAAGTTTGATTAATATTAAGAGATAATAATAAGAGATTGTAATTTGTAAATATTTTGAAATCGCGACTTACAGCATACCAAGTACTAAATAAAGCATTGCACGATTACCTGCATATAAACTACGCAGGTAATGCAGTTTAGATAAACAGTTTGTTATTTTACCTGTTTTATGATTATAAATGAGTATTATTTTGATACGTAATGTTTACGTAAACATATACGTATGATAGTATTGAGATAAAATATTCCTTGAAAATAATAATCGCTTATGATTATAAAAATATTTTTTTATATGGTAATTTTTAAAATAAAAGGTTCATTCATAAGGTTGGTGAACAATTATTTATGTAGGCACTAGGCATGCATTTAAGTTGCACTTTTGTCTAATATCAGATCAGAGAATAGTGATGTTCCATTCTGCTCTTATGCTGTTTGTAGCCTGAAAACTGCCAAAATTCTATAAACTTTGTGGTGGACTTCTGTCCGCATGAATCAAGCAGCCCTTCGCAGTAATATCAGTTCGACCCATGTAACAGTGTAACGATGACTTTTTAAAATTGTATATAATATTTCACGTATTTGTTGATAATATAGATATCTTTATTTTTTGTTTTTAGTTACATTTTTAAAAACCTGTTCAAAGCCATTTTATTAAAAAAAAACCTATCTTTGACCTATAAAATAAACTAAACAAAGACTAAAAAATTTGAATGCAAAATGGTAACTGGTAAAGTTTGTAGGTAATAAATATGTACTAGCTATTATCTACACGTATTTCTTATTTATTCCTGAAATCTAAAAAAATAATTATGACGCTATCTTAGTAAGTATTATAGCATGAGCTACCTACAGGACGTTCATATTGAGCTTAAAAATTGGAAATACATATTTAGATTTGCTTATCTAATAGGTATCTGAAACAATTTCTTCTGGCCATTTTTGCTAACGAATAATATGTATTTCTCTAAATAAATAATGAAACACCTAATTCAACGATTTAAGGGATAATTCGGATGGGCGGTTTTTTAATCTGACAGTTAATCTTCTGGAGCGCACTATTTGCAAACCGTTTTAATAAGAAAAGATTGGCGGAACCCATAGCTACACCCGCGTTCAATCTACAAAAAAAAACTCTTTGGCTTTATGTTATACAGCGACTCATCCTCGGCTTCGTCGCTATGTATTTATGTAATATTGTTCATACAAAAATACAAAAATCGCGATTAAAAAATGGGAGCTGGGGGTAGGAGGGTGAAAAATACTTACAACCTATTCTCATAACAACCAAATATAAAAAAAATAAAATCAATAAAATCGGGCGAGCCGTTTCGGAGGAGTCCGACCACAAACACCATGACACGAGATTTTTATATATTAGATAAATACGTAGACGTGTGTGAAGCGACGGATAATAATTACCGGTACGTATAAATTTCGATGTTAATTTCCAGACTTAACATTAATGTCATTATTTTTTAATAATCAGACCGAATAAATAACATTAATAATGAGAATTACGTATTATAAACTCACATAGAGTTCAACTTCCTTAATTTACTCATACGAGTAAATTAAGGAAGTTGAAATAATATTATAATTTATACTTTTTTCCAACGGGACTAAATTCTATGAAGTGTTTACAATACACCATAATTTATTCAAAATTTTAAATGGATTTTTGTTACTATAAAAAAATATTTTACATTATGTACTCGCTTTAGTAGCGCCGTGCGACGCGCGCTTGGAGCTCAATTTTCAGCGTTAAATTAAAATTATAAATAATGGAGGTAGTGTTCCGGCAGTTGGGACTTTTCTTTGAAAATTTCCTTCTCTTTAAGGATCTTTTTTTTATTTATGAATTAATAATAGTTTTTAAATTATTACCAAAAAACTTCTATTTGCTTCCTTATTTAATTATAACTTTTGCAATTTTTTACACGCTGAAAAATACATAAATATATTTTTCTAGACGTCACTCCCGATTTTTTCACCATTTTCAACTTGTGCTCTAGACTATTAGAGAGTTTTAGAATTCACTTATAGATATAATCAAAAGCATAAGTTACTTATTACACGTGTAATAATCATCACTCTATATGATAGATATAAAAACCCACAAGCTTATATTTATTACTTCTTCATTCAATCAATTCAAGATATTTTCCAATTTATGCTTAAAATAATTAGTTATGTTACTAGTATATTATATGATTTGTGGTTATGTAAAAATTACTGCTTTAACTAAATTTAAAAAAAAAAAATCTAAGCAAGTTATCGTTAAATTTGAATAATTTTAATGAAGTAAAAACCGCGTATTTTTTTATTGTAACAAGCCAATCATTATTTCAACAGATTTAGAAGCATTGAAACTAACTATCGATCATATTTTACTTTTACTTGATTATATTAGTATGAATGGACGTGACCTATTTTAAATTTACTTACCGGTAATTAAAATTTTCGGTGGCTTTTTATTTTCTACAGAACAATATTTCCGCGTATTCGTTGCAAGCGCACAACATATCCTCTTAAGAAGCGTCATTATGGCAAATAAACAATATTATTATTTTAGATGTGTGGCAGCTCTCCCGTAGACAACTTATTACCTACTGAAGGCTGTATCGAGTTTAAGATGTTTGGTGGACCAGAAAAACTAGTCTCGCTAGAAATATTAGACGGGCAGGTAAATTATGGGAAAATAAACCTTAAATCAATGATTTACTATGTGAAATACAATGACACGTATATATGGCGAATTTTATTGGCACAAAAAGTAGGTGTGTCTCGTACGTAAGTGAACGTAAATGTTAGGATATTTTTGCGAATGTATCTGTAAGAAGTGTTTATATCTATGTAAAATACATATTACAATTTATATTGCGCCTTACATTTGACCTGGGTTTTTTGCTTCCGTGATTGTGTTCTTTATATTTCAATTCTCTATCGATAAGAAAATTGAAAATTCTATTTTTTGCCAACGCGATTATTTTCTAGTCTAGAATATAGCTGTGGTTTCTTATACCTTATTAAAGTTTACTATGAATATGAAAGTTTGCGAAATGTTCGGTTGATTGGACGTTTTTTATTCAAACCCTCGTACGACAAACCATTGTATGGATTAATACAGAACTTGGCACTCTGATGGACGATTTGCTAGAATAATAATGATTTTATTTCTATTCTATTTAATTTTGCCAGCCGATTCAAAGCAAATCTAATATAGTTCGATACCTACGTAAAATACATATTTACCTATTACATATTCATATCTTAAAATATTGTAGGCTGGCACCGACTTCGAAAATATCTGATTATGTATCAAATATTTTAAATGAAAACGTGCCTGGACGACGGTTTTTTAGGGGGTAGAATTAAAAAAAAATCTGGAATGCTAATTGAATAATTATATTCGTTTTTAACCGACTAATAGGTAAATATGATTAGGTATGAACTCTTATTATAGTTAAAATATTATACATCAATTTGTGATGTATTTTACCATACATATCGAAGTATATTAGATTTGCTTTGCATAGGCTGGCACCGACTTCGAAAATAAATATCTGATTAGGTATCTATTCTAAATGAAACACTCCTCTTTTAGTTATTTTTAACATTTCATGCTTAGTTTCTTTTGATCCTTTTTGAGTGAAATTTTACACTATGGTTACCTTTGTATCGCAAATTAGTTAGCTATAGGTGATAGGAACATAGGGAGCACATAGTGAATCGGGTGGAGCGAATTTTTTTTAATTTTGAAATCCCTCTATTACCAATACATGACCCAAGAAGCATTTATACGAAATTTTAGCTTTCTAAGACAGTATCTTAAGGGGGCGCAGTGAGCTTACAGTTTAAAGAAAATACCAACTCTTATAGAGCATTATTTAAGTTGATATTAGGTACTATCTTTTAAAAAACATGTTAACAATTAATAACTATGAGAAACATGTATCAAATCACTACATATATTATTTTTTAAATTAACACTGATACTGCCTTTTGGAGTCAGAATGTACATGCGATCAGTTATGTCTTGTCTGGGTTTTTATCCTGGTTCGAATAAAACAATTACTTCCTTTTGGACCACAAACACACAATATGACCTTTGTGGTAAGCGTGACGCATTTAGGTAGATATCTCTTTCCAGAACGTGGTAATGATAATTGTTATTTTAAAACAAATTAGGTCTACTACTAGTTTTATTAACTTTTGTTTCACCGAATTTTCATTCAGTAAACAAGGAGATAGGTCTAAGGCGGTGGCGCTGGATCGGACATATTTAAGAGAGGAAGGTAATACTGTACAAGTAGCATTCCAATGGCAGACTTCCAGTAAAAGAAGATCTGGTCGACCAAATAGCCCATTGGACATGGAGGAGGTCCATTGTGGCGGATCTTAGAAGGTTGGAAATCTCGTGGAACCATGTTCAAGCAGTAGCTAAAGATAGAAGGGCATAAAGAACTACTGCTGCAGCCCTAAGTTCCATGACGGAATAAAAGGACATCATCATGATAAGAATTTGAAGTATCAACGTACCGTTATGGAAGTAGGAATTCGTAAATTGTCTTCCCTTTGGACTTATCCACTACTGGACCATTTTGTTGTTCCTGTTTTGTCAACCTCATATGACTCTGACTCTCACATTTGATGTTTTAAAAGAACTGCAAAATGTCTAAGCTATTAATACTACTATTGTTGATTAAGAAATATTTCTAGTGTACATGTAGTTTAACACATAATATTCATTTCCTCGCTTCTTAACTTCATTCTTAACTTCTTAACTTCTTAACGGTAGTTTGCCTCATCACGTAGGTAATCTTCAGATTAAATATTATGTATACCTATGCTTGATATTTCAATTAATTATTCTTATTTTACTTATAATAAAATTTAAGTGTAAAATATCTTATTTTTATCAGTCAATCCTCAATCGTTTCTTCTCCATTCTACGCGATATTGATGATGTAAATTGTGGCCAACTTTACATCTAAAATCAATAAAACTAAGTACTAACTAAATAAATATACTGTTTTGTACACTGCATACTAGCATTGCCCTCGGCTCCATCCGCGTCCAGATGACCGGAAACCACATTTTTAAGTTTTACCCATTAATATATTATACAAGTCTCATTGTCGACCGCAAGATTGAGAAAAATTGGCGGTGATTGGCAATGCCACAAATGTTCCTTCCTCCTTTAATCTCATATTTAGTTTCGTAATATTGCATTTTCCGTTTTAACAACAGCAATAATACATAGTAGGTACGTCTTTACATCTACACTAATATTGATCCTTTAACGACAGCGGATACGCCGGCATTACAGTTAACAATAGATTTCTTAGAAATTTAATTAATTTCTTAGAAATTTAATTAATTTCTTAGAAATTTTATTAATTTCTTAGAAATTTACCTGGAGGTGTTATTATTTATAAAGAGGAAAGTTTTATTAGCTATTTATAGCTAACACATATACAATGAGCGCCAACCATCCCGGTCCTGTGCAGCCCGCATCTATCTACTAACCGCCATCTTTCTTAGGTCATCTGTCCATCATGCTGCAGGGGGTCCTACACTACGTTTGCCTAAGCGCGGTCTCCACTCTAGCACGTTTAAGCTCCATCGAACAACTTTGAACGTAATTTTTCCATACTACCCATTTCCTAGATAGTATATAGGTACTAAAGTTCACAATTGCATTGTCGAACCGACAAACTCGCTGTTAAGGCAGTGCTAGTCAGATTTATTGGCACGGCATTACCAAATACCATTATATGTCGCCTTTACTTTAGAATTATAAGTATGTAATTATATTATAAATAAGCTATTAAGTGATATGTCAATTTTATTGTCCAACCTTCCTAGTTGCAACAACGCAGGATTAATCTTGATTAAACGCATGCGCAATTTTTATTTTGTAATTGGTCAAAGATTAATAAAAACAATACATAGATGTGACACTATAATTTCATAAGCGTACAAAATTATGCAATAGACGATTTCTAAGTTATGATAATATAATATCATTCAAAATTATCAGGTTTTTTCTATAACTAGGTATTATATATTTTTCTGGGATATAAACTAAACCACGTACAAAGCTGCAAATTTAAAAAAAAATGATGTAGGTATAGGTGTGATTGCTTAAGAATGGCTTAAAGTACTTTAATCATGAATGACATCATCACTCAAAATATTAAATAAGTATAAGTTCCAACTTAAACCGTATATTTACGAGACATGTACCTACATTTACGAGTTTTTGAGTTGCTTTATACACACTGGCTCGTCTACATCTAAAAGGAGAAGTTACGTATGAAGGCACGCGCCACAATGGTGAAAGATAAGTTACTTGGTGCGCATCGAGCCATGAACCGAAAGTCTGGTGTTTGCATGCGAAATATGCACTGCATCCAGTCCGTGTTTACCTATCAAAGAACTCACTTGAGTCCGAAAGTGAAGTTACGTAATTGATTTTATTAGTTAACCCGTTCGAAGTCTGTGTTCAAATCCAGCAGGAATTTGTTAAATAATTAACAGGTGAACGGATAAATATTTATTTTTCTACACGTTACATACTTATATGTATATTATTTTGTCGACAACGTTTAAGCTTTAATTAGATTGCAAAAAATTATATCGCATTTTACCAGTAGGTACTTACCTACTTTACTAATAATTTACCCACAAATTTATTTGTAGTTTAATGATGATAAATAAAATGATGACGAAATAAATATTTTTTTTTATGTAATATGTATAAATTTTTTCATATTTATAAAGCTTACTTATTTGAATTAATGTAATGTAACATTATAGAATAGTCTACTAGTCGGTGTTATTGTTTTGCCATTTTCATATAGATATGTATGTATATTGTTTTATGACTTATACATACATGCTATGATGATTATGTATGCACTAAATCTTTGGAACAGTAAGATTGAAAAGATTTATATTGTACTAGCATTAGCCGCGGCTCCGCCCCCATTCAGATGACCAAAAACCAAACTCTTAGGTTTTACATAGGTATTAGTTTCTTACAATGCAGTTTTTGTAGTTTTTCTCAGAAATGAGATATTTTCCCGCAGTAAAATGTATCCTATTGTTGACCCGGATAATCAGCTATCATCATACCAAATTTCATCAAAATCCCTCTAGTGGTTTTTCTGTGATGCGGTAACAGACAGACAGACAAACATTCTAAAAAACTATAGATTCGGCCTCTGTATCGATAAAAATGTCTATTTCAATAAGATTTTCAAAAAAAAATATTTAATGTACAGATTCGGCTTAGTTACAATTTTATTATATGTGTAGAATTTATTGCCTATTTATTTAGGAAGCATATTATGGACTACCTAAATCTCTTTGGTGCAATTACACATGAACAAAATACGTGAGCGGACCCATTGACAAAAGCTAGTCTATAAAATATTGTTATAAAATATTTATAATATTATTAGGAAGATAAAAATAAGTGACTGTAAATAATCAAGAAAATATTTCTTATTAAAAACAACGTAACATTAAGTATAG